GCGTTTTTTATGTTTCTTATTGTGTTTTCCTCACGTTTTAATAATTTGATTTAATGTACTGTGGTCGAAACAACCTGAGCTATCCTTGTTGAAATTGAACTCAGCTTTTAGTTGAGTTTTTCGAACTGTCATTAATGACACGATTTCCACACCAACATTTTTGCCTTCGGAGAATTGTGATGCTGAGATTCAGGTCACCTCATTAAATGAATTTGCATCACTATGGGTGAGCTATGTGATCAAAGTGGAAAAGAAACCCTTCAAGTTAGATGCTGAAGTGGTTGAAGGAAGCGGCATAATTCAGTTCATCCTAAAAGATTTGTTTTAAATTGAGGGGGATTTCAGCATAATAAGGTGTAATGGTATGCACACTCAGTGTTCTTGAGGATATTCATTTCATACTCTTATCTAGCAAATTTAGATTAAAATGTAAATCGCAATTTGGCGTCCTGATAGCTTTGTTGGAGAAATGCGGTGAGCTAATTTGACAAGAATTCTCATCTGATGTTGCAAATTAGCACTGACACACTAATCCCTGATGAGACAAATAGTTCTCTCAACCTCAAATCCCTCAAGCATTTTCATCCAGCTTCTTTCCACTCTCACTTCATTGTAATAGACCACGACCAGAGAGAAGTGCAAACAGGAGATGGTGCACACGGCCGAAGATCTGTAAAAACTGAACAGCAGATGTCTAAGAGCCCGTCGTACATCAAAACATCAGTCATTACTGTTTTTTGAGTTTTCGAGTGTATTAAGCTTTGTCTAGAATTGTTGTTAATATCGATATCCATTGCAATTAAGTGTAGGTTTGAAAATCATTGGGCATAACTATTGTGCGCTATATAGTGTAGAGTCTGCACTGCTCAGTTTCGTTGCACCCGGTCTTTTCCGCCTCCCCACCCTCCCTCCCTCCCTTGCTGTCAATCATCCATATGGTGCCATGTCGATGTACGGTGCCAAGTCCCCTCCAGTCAAAAGTACCTCACCCTCGCCTCGGAAATTATTCACCCGCCACAACCCCCTAGAGCTTCGGTTTGAGATATAATTTGCCAATTTCCAACTGTCATTTTAGCCCTCATTTGCCATTTGAACATTTTCAGTCCATTTACAGCCTCAAAAACAGCTCCAAAAAGTTATCACATTTTTTGGCGTTCATTTATTGGTTGCGCAGTCCGTATTGGGTTTTCATTGAAACAGCTTTTTTTGATAGACCTTCTGCCTTTTTTGATTTTTATTTTGTTTCCTAACGAATTTTTTGCCTTGCCTTGGCAAAATATCCCGAGTTGAATCCAAATTGCGTTCATAGTTCGCAAACACTGATTATTATTCACCTGCTATTAAATGTGCGTTCTTTTTCCTTACTGGCTACCCCAATTTTGTATTCCAGTTTTTCCTCTGGATTCTCTTATTTGTTTATTTACCCTCCATTAAACACCGAGCGCCAGTCACCATAGAATCATTTCCGCTGTCAACTTCAGATCACTGCTTCTAGAGTGAAGGAGAGATACGCGAGTAGTTACATAAGTTTCGTGGACAAATTGGCAATACATTTAACTGTTTTCACAACCTTTTGGGTTATAATACGACATAACTTTCTCCAATCTAACTCGCCCAAATTTGTGCTCAACTCTTCAGTATTTATGTCATAGGCTTAATATATAACGGACTCAAAGGGATATCCTCTTTTTTCCTAATGAACTTCTTTAAAATAAAAGTAGCTATGAAAAATATAAACTGAGTGTCTTTGAATATTTCAGCGTATATAATTAGTATCAGAAGATGAAACGTTTTTGATTTTTGGTTATCTATTTTTGGCTGGATATATTCGTGCAACTCCTTAGTCTAAAATAAGTCTTATTTCTACTCTTTTTCTCCGTAGTTTGATAGTATCTGGGCAAACATTGACAAAATCGAGGTTAGGCTGAATTGAACTGTTTTTAAATCTGTATTAAAAGTGGTCTGCTCAGTTAACCTCAGATACAATATTTCTTATGTTTGAGTTAAGGATGATGATTGGTTAGTATGTACACACGCGGAGCGTAATGTTATATTTCGAAGCAACTTTTTCCAATCTATGTCGCTAATAAAATTGCTCATTTGGTGGCAGTTTTGGCATATTTCCAACAATAGGCAATGTTATATCATCTACTGCTGCTTTATTGTTCCGACTTTCGAAGAAAACGGAATATTTATGCTCGGTGTGTTTTTTTTATTCAGTCAATTTTCGCCGATCGTAATAATAGTGTAAACATTTTTATACCTCATTGAAGATTGAAGATTTTTATTTCAAATTGCCCATCTTCTGGACTAAATTATGCGCGCTTTGAAAAATTTATTCATATTGCTGAGAGTGTAACGCGAATTATTCATGCGTGGCGGATTATCCCGCACAAAAAAAATCCTTTCAAATTGAATTGAAGCTAGCTAATCAGATTAGATTGGCGTGTTAATTTCGTACGACTCAACATTTCACACTTCGATATTGACCAAAATTCATAGGTTTTCACAGTAAGTAGCGTGCGTAGAATTTTTCTAGGAAGGGGAGGTTTTTGAAAAAAATTTTAAGGCACTTTTTCGGCGCGCGCAATTTCGGGGAGGCAATTTTAGACCAAAAAATGCGTTTTTTCGGCGCGCACTCCCCCTTCAAAATTAACTATTTTGGCGCCAAAGGCGCCTTTAGAAAAATTTTGAGGTCGGTCAGCCAAAATCGGATGTATTTAAAATATACCAAAGGGAAACTCTTTGGAAAAATTTGGCAACCATAATTGAGTTGGGAGGGCTGTCGCTATTGGGTTTTCAATATTTAAAATTTTGAACATTCATGGTTTTTTCGAAAACTACCCTGTCATGATTGAAAGTGAGTTCAAGCAGTAGAACAGTTGATAGACATTTATGTTGCATAACTGGCTGCGCTTCTTTTTTTTTGTAGAAAAAGGTAATAGTCTCAAAAAGGCTTTTTTTGACAGTTTTTGTGACAGTTATTATTCCAAATCTGCGATTTAGGGTTCAACCTCGAAAAACGTAGTGACCTTTCTGCATGAATGTTTTCAAGTTTGTTTCTGCAAAAATAAAGGTTCGTTTTTTGAAATTTTCGCCGTTTTTAGATAATTTTTTCCACCATTCTCAAAATTTACCCAACCAAATCTGAGTTGAAGGGTTCAGTCGAAACAACATGTTTTCGTGGTGTGCCATGCATTCCTCTGCTTTAATAGTGAAAGCGTTCTGACTAGGAAAAGTCAAGTTTAAGTTATAATGACTGTTTTTGGAAATCTGAGATAAGAATTAATAAAGAGAACAAAGAGAAAGAGAAGTATTTGGAATCTTCCATAATAAGAGAAAAATCGTTCATTTAAACCGAGAAACAACTATGATTTTGGGTAAAGTCCATTTTTGACACTTTGAAAATTACGCATTTCCTTCCGCATCAGTGAAACATTCTAAAGAAAATTCAACCAGTTTTCTCCATAGCTGAGCAACTAATATTTGACTATGTATAAGAGCACATGGCGCAGTTAAAAGGGTGTAATTATATCAGGCTTGTATACGTTTTTATTTTCTTTTGCGTTTTTTCGCTCGTGTGGGCGAAGTGCAACTTCGCCTCTGTATATCAATTTACAAACTCGGGTTTTGATTTTTTTTTATATAATAGGTTTTGCTTGTATTTTATTGGCTTAGTTTTTGTTGTCTGAAGAGCAAAAATTGATTTCACTGAAAATAAATTAGGACGATTGTGGTTTTAAAATTCTAAAAATGAATCGCTCAAAATTTTGGGCATTTTATGGCATTTGGTATTTTCGGCTCAGTGGGCGTCTTTTCCAGTATTAACGGCTTAGTGGCCGCTCGGTGATTACTACCAGTTTATTTAATGCTGGCAATTGCCTTTCTCTACTGTTTATCTGAAATTGGTTTTTCATTACAAAAACAAAATTTTCATTACAAAAACAAAATTTTCATTACAAAAACAACTGCGCTTGAGTTGTAATGCAAGTCATGCAAAGCTCCGCTTCGTCTCTGCGCGTTCTAGTGTGTTTTGCTGTTGAAAAAATTGTTTTGTTAAGTGTCAATGTTTTAATTCAACCGTTAGATACAGATGATCAACTCGAAACATTTTCATAGCGCTGAAGTATCAGCAGTTAGAATTACTGCTATGTCGAAATTTCTCAGTGGAGCTGAATACTTTGCTTCCATTTGCAAGATTATTTTTTGGTGGAGTTAAAAATCTAAAGGTTTTGTTGTAGCTTATTTTGTGTTAAATTACCGCAAGCTATTCGTTTTTCAAAATTAAGAATTGTCAGTTTTTTCGGCGAATGTGTTTGATAAAGAAATTAAATTCACTCCGGGCTGAATCAGTTTTTTTACTCTTGCATTTTTTAAAAGTTATTTCAGCATCAGAGAAGACGGATTAGTGTAATGTTTATGCTTTGTGCAATATAGGTATCGGTTCGATTCGTTTTCAGTTTTTTGGCCAAGTTAACCAATGATTTTTGCCTTCACTGTTTTTGCATCCGTTTTTATTGGGCGGTATGTTATCTCTTCAATTTTTTCAATGCTGGATCTTCGTAAAACAGCTTTTTCAAGGTTCCACTGAATTGCATCTGAATTGAGGACGCTTAATTTTGTTTAAAAGTTTTTTTCCTGTAATCAAAACTTGGTCATAAAACTTCCGATCTTTTAACAAAGATCAAATATGAACCTTTGAAAGGACATTAGTCTGGACCGTTTAGCCAAGTACAAGTTAATGATTTTTTTTTTCATTTTGATTATTTTTCTCAAAAGTTGTTTTCCAGGTCTCGGTTATAAAATTTGGCTATTGATTTTCCTGTTTTTAGAATTTTTTTATTGCAAGTGGTACGGAGCTCTGCTTTGCCTGTGTTAAAGATTTTGAAATAAAAAAGCTATAACGTGAAATATTTTATTCGAAAGATGAAAATTCAAAAGATGAAATAAGTTTAAAAAATGTAAAGCATTTTAAATTTCCTTGCAATTTTAATGAGTTTTTCCGATTTTCGGCACGATGAATTTGTGTGTCGGACAAGTTTGTGGCAATAGCAGTTTCGTTTAAATGTCAAAATTGGCAATGCTATTCTGAAGTTAAATTTGGTTAAAATTCGAATTATCTGTTCCGGTTTTTCCATCTTGTGCAGAAAAACGTGTGTGGTGTTGGAGGCTGAGTAAAATTTATTTAGGGCTTGAAAATCAGGGAAGTGAATTTTTGTGTTTATTTGTTGTCATAGCAGGCTTTTATTCGATATTATTCCACCTTTTAGTGTTATTTGAATGCTAACTGGAAGTTGTGCAAATGAAAAAAGTTTTAACGGGTGAAAAAAATTATCACTTCAAGGAGTGAGTTTTATTATTTATATAACTGGGTGTAATTTCCTTTTTCTGTGCCATTCAGCTCCCAAGTTTTGTTTTAAACACAGTTGACGAAAAGTGTTTCTTCAAAGTTATACCGCTGTACTCTGCTACTTTCGCGCAATGCTAGGCTGTATAGGGCGAATATATTTTGACTTGGGGAATTGTTGAGGTCTAATCTTTGAGAATTGACGGAGGAGGTATTGAATGATGGTGTTGCTGTCTATAAATAGGTCGGAATTAAGTTGCATCAAGGAAAAGGAATCTGGGGAGGGTAGGTGATCATTTGTGCTTCTGGCATTTTCACCGTCTTTTGGTTGTGGTGTATGTCTGTTAGTTCCCACACACCTTCCCTCTAAACAACGAACTTTATCAACTTAATTGCCGTTTCCTTCATATGCGAAATTATAAATATTGAATGAAGGAGGAGGAGTCTTTTTTGTGGAGCTGAGCCTAGGCGTGCCTTTTTTTTTCTCCCTCCCGCCTAAGCCTACTTTGAATCGGGGGAACTTATATTTTTCAACTCTTATCACTGCTTTTCGATTCCATCGCAGAGCAGACATAAAATATGGTTTGCTTATATAGGAGTGGATATGCGCTTGGTGCGCTCTAATTATGAGTGGGTTTCGTTAAGTTAAGTTAAGTGAAGTTAAGTTACCAGGCCATGACTGTGTTGCTAAAGAGCGCCCTAAACCAACAACAACAGAGAATAGAACTGATTGTGGCGAAATTGTGTTCCAATGCCCGCCCAGCCATTCCATGCCAGAAGATCCCTGCTGAGCCAAATGCAGTCAAGGCATATCGTGCCCTCTGTGGGATATGTATGTCTCAGCTATCCCCTAATAAAATTCATTAACTTCTAATTCCGTGCCAGCAGTGCGTGTATTTACCTCCTAACTATTTCGTCCCTTGTCACAGCACAAACATTTGCTCCTTTCGCTGGTCTAGCGCTACTAGTTTTGGTTAGTGGTGTCTGTAGTGCTAGTGCCGGACACTTGCCAGTAGTCCCAATCCAGCCCAACCCAGCCAACTAACTGAACCTGATCAAATAGCCGGAATAGGAATATTCAAAAAAGCCTATTTGCATTCAAAGCCATATTTGTCTAACTTCTCTTACTGTTATCGATCGGTTCAACTGGCTAATATATCAATTTCCTATATTCACCCAAACCAACCTCTCAACCTGTGTAATTTTTTATGTAACTCCTTTACTTGGTTATTCCTTTTCCTTACATTGCCAATTATGCTGCCAACAACACTGCTATTACCTCTAATCCCGCCAAGTGCAATAAAATCGAGTCGCACATACGAAATTAACTCTTAAAAAGCTTTCAACTATCAAGTCTCTAAGGAGTTAACTTGAAGAAGAAAAGAAGTAATGGTCGAAATATCGACCCAGACCGAGTTGGAGCAACCCTGCCCGATCCCACCGTTCAACACCCTTGCGACACAAACGGGGCCGGCCCTTAATGATGCCATGCAGAGTTCAGTTCAGCAAAACCATCAGCTACCAATGGTCTCAAAACATCCCAGCGAAGTTAACCTTATGAGCATCGAAGGTAACAACAGTTCCTGTCTCGAGAATAACGGCAAAGATGATCACGTAAATCAACAGCAAATGCAAAAGCGTTATCGATCTTCAAGTGCCAAATCACAAAAAGCAAGAGCGGTTAGCCATCGAAATCTAGCAAGTCCTTTTGGAGCCAATGATGCAATTGTTGTGAACTCGCACCATAACCAGAATTTACAATCTCACGAAAAGCAATCGTCGCTGCCTAAATGGAAGACCTTCCATAGTGAAGTTTCAGAAACTTCAGCTAGCCCACCTTGGCCGCAAAATATACACAGCATCAACAATAACAACAGTTTTTCAACAGATTCGGAGAATCTGGGAAAAACTATTTATGTAGTAAATCAACCTTCATTGAAAACTCAACTTCCAAGGGAAGCAAGGTCACTGAAAGACCTGGTGTCTGCTTCACAGCAGAAGGATCCTTCAGTCCATGCTTTGCCCTTTGGCAGTAATCAACATCGAGCAGCAATGGATCCTCACACCGAGTATGTAGGCTATTCGGAATGTTCACATTGTGGCGCCTTATCAGCCAAATCCCTCGACAAAATTCACATAGTGCCCACAACTAACAAGAACTTACGAGCGCTGGAACATGAGAGTCTCGGGTTGAGAAATTCGGTAGCTGTGGGATCGGCAAATGAATCGACTCAGGGTTTAATCGATTTGGCAATTTTGGAGCGTTCGAATTCCAGACATCGAAGTCGAGACACGTCAGATCGTAGTAGAGAACGATCTTCATTTCATAGGTCTAGAAGTCGTTCTAGGAACAAACATGTTCATATTTCCAGCGAAGTGATATCAATAAACAACTCTTTGAAACGAAGTAAGTCGGCAAAGAGTTCAGACAACAACTCGGCCAATGAAAACTGTTATGATTCTATTGACTGCCACAATCCTATATACATAAACCCGGTGTCGTCGCGGGGTAGTTTGAAAACAAGTAATACCGAGGCTTCGTTTTGGAGTTTGACCAACAATAAATATTTGCACCCTCCTTTCCGAGACGAATCGGGACCATCGAGCAGTTTAACGACAACTGACAGTCGCGAGGACAGTTTACTCTCGACAGAAGGAATCAACACTGCAAACTCAAAGTTATCGTCTAACAGTTTTGCTTCCACAAATAATGTTGGGTCCACATTGCAAATGTTTAATAATGTGAATAACAACGTGGAGACTAGTTTTGTCAGTGGATATCATCTTCATCCTATTAATTACCATCATAATTATGCTCACTCATCATCTTCATCGTCGACAACTAACTCGAAACCTAAATCCCTTTTTCCGCCATTTTGGAAGAAAGGTTCGTTTTAAGAACTATTTGACTGTTGATAAGCTTTGGTTCTTTATATTAACTCAAACAAAATCGAATGCGTCTTAAACGATTTATTCATATCGGCTCGTTTAACTCGAGATTGAATTGTGGAAAAAAGTTAGCTTAAAGTAATATCGCGATTTTATTTTGTTGCTTTCGAAAATCGTATTCTGAAGTTTCTGTTGTGCGATCTTTTTCAACTGAAAAGTGTTTACATAAGTATATAGAATAAATGATGTGACAATTAATAGGTGCATCACGAAATCACCAGCATCACCATTTTGAAATTTTTAAATGTGTATATTGTATACTTGTATTAATGTAAGCTAATTTCTGTGTTCTAGTTGCCATTGGAGACGTGGTGAGAGGCATGGGCGATCTGCAGTACAATGCAGGAGCCAGCATGAAGGACCTCATATTCCTTCGTTCTTTGCTGGAGAATCCAGTGATGCATCGGCTAGTCAGAACTCACGACTCCCTGGACCCCAATCAACAGGCAATGGGTATGAACTCTTCGCAGCACCCGGACGATCACTACGTCCAGCCTCCTACAAGGTTCAGACCGCAGCCTTTGAACGACAAATTGTCCGCTTTGTGTCGTGGCGTCACTGATGAGCTGGACAGACGCCCCAATTTAAAGGACAACGCCTTCTTGTCAAGACTGATTAAGTCGCCCGAGTTTGCGGTGAGAAACATTTTTGACAATGGCTTCTTTGAACTTTAATTTTCATGCAAAGTAATTCGCCAGATTATCGGGATTTAATGAGTACAAGCTCATATAGACCACAAAAAAAAGAATTCAACGGAGACCAAATTTTCAGTAATAAAATTTTTGATATAAATTTATTTTGTGAGTGCATTTCTTGCAGGCGTTGGCTAGTACGCACGACCAGGTTGCCACGAAAGTGTACGACGAAAGCAGGTTCCTCCCTGACCAGTTTGACCAGCTTTACCTCGAAGATGAGCCGAGACCTGAGGCATCAGCAGATTTAGTGAAGGCTGTGCGCGTCGTGGGTCTGCGGAAGACTCCCGGTGAACCCCTTGGTCTAACGTTGAAAGTGGATGACCTGACCGGATCTCTGAAGGTATCCAGAATTCTGGATGGTGGAGAAGTTGATAGACAAGGTCATGTACTGTTTTTATACATTTGCTGATTTGCTTTGCCATGATCTCAAACTACTTGAATTTGAACAATGCGAATGCATGTTTTCAGCTGAAAATAGTTGCTTTGAAGCAAAACATTCATATAGCATATTTATGTTATCGCATTTATGTTACAATATAAGACGAGGACGATAAAAATACAGAAATACTTGAAAATATTTAGAGGAAAACGATTGTCAGAGCAGAAAAGTTCATGGTTTCGCAGACAGATGGAGCCAATGAGATGAAATCTGAATTTGACCTGTTTCGGTTGAATGTATCTTTTCTTGTTTCTAGGTCTTTTATCGGTGGGGGATGTGGTGCTGCAGATCAATGGTTACCCTTGCGAGGGGGAGTTTGTGAAGCTGGACAATGGGGACAAACAGAGGGTGTCGGAGTATTTGAAGAACTATAATGGAGACCTCAAGTTGGCCATACAGGCTTTGGCAGAGGAGAATCACGCACACCAGACTCATGTGAGTATCATACTTGACCAAGATGATCAGGACTTTTCCGATCAAATTTTAGGGGCTCGAGTTGTTTTAAGGGAGCCTGTATAATAGCCTCAAACGGCCTCAATTATAATTTTAAAAAAGTTTTGGGATATATGTAGCAAATGCTTGAAAAGTTTGCGGTAAAATTCGCGATCGTAAGGATAACTGAAAAACTTCGATTGCTCTAAATTAACTATTTCAACTTTTCGAAAACGGGTCAAATTAATTTTTAACATTTCTTCTAGCATCAGTGGTGATTACAAAAATAACCAAAAAGATCAAGTTATACAAGTGGACAGTGTGGAAAATTTCTAGTACTATGGAAAACATTAATTATGCTTCTTTCATGTAGTCCATATTTGCACAAATTTTCCTGAAGTGTCTGATTAGAATTTTTTCTCATGAAAATTTTCTGACTACCTTTTTTACGAACTCAAAATGCTAAGTTCCTGATTGTTTAATCATTATTTGTTCGTCTTCGTAACCAAGTACAAGTTACAAAAATAAAATAACTGCAAGAATTAACCGCTCATCAAATGCCGTGCTTCAAATTTTTACTTGAGTTCAAATGAGTTCAAACTAAATTCGATGTACGGTCGATTTGATTGCATAGTTTAGAAAACCGTATGGCTTTCTTCGAGCATGATTTATCATTGTGAAAGAGTTGGCGCTAAAGTAAAAGTAATAAATGTGTCGTCTATTCAGGTGTACATGCGTGCTCTGTTCTCGTACAATCCGGAGAAAGATGATTTGTTACCGAATAAGGAATTGGGACTGAAGTTCCAGAGTGGAGACATATTGGAGATTGTGGAGTCACAGAAAGATCCCAACTGGTGGCAGGTATACAACCATAATACACATAACAGTATTGAAAGCACAGCAATCTTTTTGAGCGATAATAAATGTTTTGAATGAGTGGAATGAAGTTGAGCTTCATTTTTCGAGCGGAGATTTTATTTTTTTAAAAATTAAATGTGGGATCTATAAGTTTCTTAAAATTGAGAGAGATTTAATAGGCTAGGTTTGACTAAAGTATGGAATAACCTAATTAATTTCCTGTTTTCTTGACTGCATTATCCCTTATCCATTTATATCTTTCTGCTTCAATTCTACAGTTGAGCTTTATTTTTGAACGTGTAGTGTCTCAAAGTTTGTTCAGGCTCAAATTTGATTTTTTTCGCGGTTCGACTGTTGATTTCTTTTTAAATTCAGTTCATTATTTCTTTTGTTTACGCAAGCAAAGCTTGTGTTATAGTATGAACTATCTTTTTTTTCCAACCTAAGTCGCAAATGTTGCGATAATATGTGTTCATTTTGAAAGTGTTCATTTTGATCAATAACCAGCTATTAAGTACAGCCAATGCTAAGGGTATTAACACAGACTATTATATAACAAAGAGCACTTCAAAGTATTATATTATATATTATATTATAAGTATTATTATATTATAAGTATTATATTACTAATAGCTTCAAAGTAGAATGGATCTGTAGCGTAGAGGTAGGTAAGGAGACCCACAACAAAATAAGCGGGTTCGAACCTGGGCAATGTTGGATGTCTTTAATGAACTTTTTCGTATACTAGTTAAAATGTGTCCGCTCTATAAATTGAGGCATGTTAGTTGGTAAATTTCGTTTTTTTTTTTTCAAATTGACTGCTAGTGCGTCATAATTGGCTTGCGTCACTTAGCAATTATGTAAACTCTTAATTGGCGTGCGTCACTTAAAAATTTTGTAAAGTTGTACTCATTCAGGTTTTTCCAGTAGCGTTATCGGTCATATTTTTGCTTGTGTATGCGAAGTGCAAGTTCTCCTCTGTGTAAAAGGAAGGTAAACTCCGCTATCGAACAGCAAAATGTAAAGGTCACGAAAAATGTGATCGACTTATAGTTTCGAAAGTAGATTTTAATTTTCAGAGTTACCTGTGGAATATAAAATTTACTAATTGATCCAGTTTTCTAAAATAGTTATTTTTCTTAACAAAATGTCAATCGTAAATTTTTTAGTCCATTGAACTTCAAAGAGATTTGAGACCATGTTTTTTTCTTTGAAGTTGGAATCCCAGCTATTGATCCAGTTTGCTCAAATTGAGTTAATTTTTATCAAAAAAGTGTCAATCATAAACTTTTCTTCAGTTAATATTTGAGACCATATTTTTTGAGACCACATATTTTTTCTTTGAAATATATTTTAAAGTTTTTCAAAAAGCAAGTCAGGTTTTTTTGTTCCCTTGCGTTCTTTGAATCTTTTCCAAATGGATGTTGGCTATGTTTGTTGGTAACATTCGCTTTGGTAAATGCGCATTCATTTTCTATCAATTTGGAGATCAATTGGGAAATTGATTCAATTGTTTAAGAAAGGAAAGGAATAATTATGCTCGGTTTTTTTATTCAGACCAATAATATTTTTTATCATAAACTTAATTAAACCACTGAAAATTATTTCATTACTGAGTTTAAACTTTTTAAATATTTCACCTGTAATCGTTTTTATTAAGTGGTGGTGATATTAGATTTGCCAAAATGGACTTATTTTTGTGCACCTTTAAGAATTAGTTTTCGATGCTCAACGCGTGAGCGGGATATTTTTGAGCGCGATGAATCATTTTGCTCTCAAAATCTCTTTTAATCTATTTGATGCAAACTAATCGATTCCATTAATTACGAATTAGATTCAAGTTTTAAGTATAAAAATTATTTTGCTATAGGGTGTAAACTACGGAAAAATGCATTTCAATTTTAGTTCGAGACAAGCTGGATGGTAATCGGTGTTTACAGTTAAAGTACTCAAACCTGTTTAGGCTCGTCTGTACACTGACGGTGACAGCAGTAGAGCGCGTTTGATTCCGAGCCAGACTCTGGAGGAGCGGAGGGCGGCTTATGCACGACCGGATTTGATCGATACGAAGAAGCAGAAGTACGGTGGCCTGACTTCCAAGAAGCGCAAGAAAAAGGAGGTCTACTCTGCCAAAAATAGTATGTTGGAATTTAAATCGTTTTTTTTTCTGGTCCGCATTACTTGGCTGAAAAGGAAATACGTTTTGAGATGATTAAATTCATCAAATGTACCTGTTTAGATAGATTTCACATTAATCGAGGGACATTATTTGTTGTTTGTGTTATCACAAAATCTTCCTGGGTAGTCGATAGTGTGACATCCAAATTTATTTTCGTTCCCTTTAATCAGTTCAGCTTTTGGAACTCACTTAACAATATAATTTCAAATCAGAGCTCAAATTCCACACTCGCACTCATGAAACACTCAAATGACTCAAAAATAGAAGCTTAAAACCAGTTTTTTTTCAAAATTGTGGTTTTTCCGAATTACTTGCGAAAGCGGTTTTTTCGATATTTCAAAGCTTGTAAAATTTGACAAAAGAATTATCAAAAATCAACTGAGTGTTTGTTTGTTTTTCAGATTCGGACTTCGACCGACTGGACCTTACGTTCTACGAGGAGGTTGCACGCATGCCTCCCTTCCCACGAAAGACACTGGTGCTAATCGGGACGACTGGAGTCGGTCGTAGAACCATCAAAAACACACTCATCAAAACATATCCTGACAACTTCGCCACACCCATACCTAGTGAGAAACAGCTTTCATTCCAAGTTATCAGTTTTTGAAAAAGCTGAGGCATTTTATTATTGAAAATGGGGATGAACGATCGTATAGTTCTCGAATCAATACACACACTATAAATTGTGAAGCGACAATTTTTAACAGTCTACAATTCGTAACAAGCGACAATTCGTAACAATAATTTAAGGGGTAAACACTAATTTATGCGAACTATTCCTCTTGTGTCTGGCGGATGTAAATGTAGGGTGTCAAGACAAAAGATACCATACCAAAAGCTCCCATGACAAAAGATACCATACCAAAAGATCCCTAGGTTGGGGGTAGGGGCCTGACGGCCCTTTGAGTATTGCGCCTAGCGAAAAAAAGTTGATCAAAATTGAGAATGATATTTTTTATCAAATAGAATGGCAAGTGATTTGTAAGGAATGATTTCAAAGCTTAAGAATTTTGCAAAAAAACTCAATTTGGTACCGACTTGAGTTGTCGGGAAAATCTGGCCAATTTTGGCAAAGTTGGTTTTGATTAATTTGAAGTCCTTTTCAACTTCAATTGAAGTCTAAGCTGTTTTGAAGTTTGAGTTTCATTTTAAAGGCCAAGTGATAAGCAAGTCATTTATGTTCGAAACTTGTGCAGCAAAATTTTGCCATTTCTTTGATTTTAACCGACGCTTTGTTTTTGCTTTGACCGATTAACCGCTTTATTTTCAATTCTCAGGTTCTGTGTTATTTTATTATGGTATCTTATGTCGTGGGCGATTTTAGAACGAGGTATCTTTTGGAATGGTATTTTATTGACTGGGATCTTCTCGTTTGGGATCTTAAGGTAAAGGATCTTTCGTCATGTAACCAAACGCAGCGGATAGAAGCGGAGCAAGCGTATTTTACTTGCCAATGCCGTCTTACGAATTGTCGCTCGTTACGAGTTTACGCCTGTTACGAATTGTCGCCCTACCATTTTAAACGGCACTAAACTTTTTCTATCTGATCGGAACATTCTGTACTACTTGCCGAGAAGCCGGCTATCTTTGTTAAGAGTCATGAACGCAGTGAATACTTTGTATAGTTCTTGGTGAGTTTTTTGTTTTTCCTTTCGGGAAAAAGTGTTAAAATTTGTTCACGCTGAAACTTGCGCCGTTTGACTTCTATCTTTGTTGAAATGAACGCAAACTCCGCTATGGAGCAGCAAAAAGGTAAAGGTCAGAAAAAACCTGATCAACTTCTAGTTTCGAAAGTGGAATTTATTTTTAGATATCCCAGCGAAGTAAAATATTTACCTTTTGACCCAGTTTTCTCTAGTTGGGTTAATATTATCAAAAAATGCCAATCATACGTTGTTCTCGAAATTGAAAGAGCTATAAGGGCATCTATTTTTTATTTGAAATTCGAAAGTTGAGATTTTCAAAAAAAACAGTCCAGTATTTTTTTCCGTTTAATTGCGTTCATTGACTCTTTTCCAACTGTCTGTCGGCTGTCTTACTTTGAAATTCGAAAGTTGAAGTTTTATCAAAAAATAAGTCAGAATTTTTTGTTCTGTTTCCTTGTATTCATGACTCTTTTCCAACTGTCTGTTGGCGACGTTTTTAATATGCTTTTCTCAAAATTGGTGTATAGTTGCGTGAAATGCGCTTTTTGAAAACTTGGTCAGACAAATATTGAATCAGTAAAATCTAAACTTAAGTGTTCAAGAAGTAAAGGCAGGTGAACTAATTTTAATTGGAAGTGCGAAGTTGGTTAGATGCTTCATTTAAAACATATATACAACTGTGAGTTTGTGATGAATTGACTATGTTTTGTTTACAGCCACTTCGCGACCAGTACGAGAGGGGGAGATCCCCGGCAAATCATACAACTTTATCAATAAAAAACAGATGGAAGAGGACATCAGAGACAACATGTAAGCAGATGATTATAATTAACTACTAATTTTAATTGATTTTTTCGAGAGTTGACTGGGTATCAACTTAGCTTTTTGTATGAAATTAAGCTTTCATTTTTTCTGAGAAAGACGCTTTTTAATTGCATCCAAAATCAATATATTTTGAGCCTGTGCAATTAGACAACTTATCGTTATGCGTGTGAGATAAAAATTAGACACTAGAAAATATCTCCCCTATTCGGTATCTATTCGAATAGGGAGAGATATTCGATGATATCTATTCGAATATTCTGCCGGACATACTGAAGTAACTAAATGTGTGTTATCATGGTCTTCAGGTACTTGGAGTATGGCGAGTTCCATGAGAACTACTATGGCACGAGCATAGACAGCATCCACAACATCATAGACCAGGGCAAGATGTGTGTGCTAGACTGCAGTCCCAATGCACTCAAACTCCTCCGCACAGCCGAGTTTATGCCCTTTGTCGTCCTCATCTCATCGCCCCCCTTTGAGAGACTGCGGCAGCTGAGAGGCATGGACAACCAACAGCTCCATGCCAGCACAACCACTCTGTCCAGGCTAAGTGTAAGATAGCACTTTTATTTCACTCGCGAGCGTAGTGTGATAGTACGACTATTCCTTTTTTTCCAACCTAAGTAGCAAATATTAGTGGCTCTCTTGGCGGCACTTTTGCGGCTTTTTGATAGAATGTTCTTTGGCATTCGACTAGTAATGAGTTAAAACAGTTGACGCTTTTTTCATTCATCGAATGAAGAGAAAAAAGCTATTTGTTTCTAACAACAGTACAAAAATAAAATCGATTTCAGACATTTTCCAACTCAATATATCTCACACTTTTTTGAAATGCATAATTTGGCAGTCTTTATGCTTTCCATTTTATTACTAACAACCCAAATTACTGCTCCAAATTACTACATTAAAATTTGTCTATATTTGTGTTTTAGTGTCTTTTTGTATTCGGATTGACATTTTATTATCATATGTAGCTGCTTTATTTGTGACTAATATTAGTGAATTGTGGTGCAGATGCTAGGGAAGGGGACTCCAAATCTTTTGGCCATAAGATCGAATACACCACAGCTAAAATTTTAACTTTCAAGGCTTATTTTCATTTTTTTTAAATTTCAATTTGTAGAGCTGCTTTTTTCTCGTTTTCCCGCTAGTTTTTGCGAAGCATAGCTTCGCCTCTGTGTATGAACCTGCTTAGTCTTTCAATGTATTATGTGCCTTATTTAAGTTTTTTTTATTATGAACTTAATTGAATTATAAAATATACCGCTTTTTCAAGCGATTCGTTTTAAGACAAATTCATATATTAATATCCTTGCCTTGTCCACGCAATTAGTTGATGCTCAAAAAGGGAAAGGGCGAGGTTTTTCGTCTACATTTTATAAATACTTTTGGTTCGACTAACTCAAGTTTCTTTGCAAGCCTTTCAAGTGTTCCTAACATTTTTTACCCATGAGCGCGCGATGCCATTTGGACCGTCGACATGTCGTCAACCTTAATCAGCGCGTAGATACCTCTTGGCGTGAAATCTTGTTAGATTAACATGAGTTCATTTTTAGAGTCTTTTCTTTGTCTTTGGTATAGCTGATCAAGGTGGGAGCGTGCTCATTGAGAAGTCGTTTCTAAAAGCTATCTAATCGATCCTTTGCTAGCTTGCAGGTTTTGTTGCTTGATTTGTTGATGCTTGGTTGTGCGTAGGTTAAAGAGGTAACGTAGATGAATGGCTTTCTAAGCAAGAAATGGTTCGGTGTAAGTAGTTGTTCATCAATGTACTGAAATCGTAATCAATCCCGATGTTTTCGTGTTAACAACTGCTATTCTAATTGTTTTACTGTGTTAAAATTATTATTTTGACTTTTGAAGTAAGTTAACCCCAATATTTATGCTTTGAGTTATTTTTTTAGTCAGTGAACGGAATGAAAAGTCTTATAAATCTCGTGATGATTTATAACAGGAAAGTTTTAAAGTTTAATCAAGCTGAAATATGATTTTTCAGGCTTTGACTTTAACTTTTTTTCAATTCAATTTTATTTCACCTATTACAACGAAGTATATCACGGTTTTTCCTTGTCAAATTTGAAAAGTCATCAAAAGTTTTGAAATTTCGCATCGTCTTCTAACTTCGAAAGTGGGTTTTCACATCAAATTTTCCCATGTAATGAAAACTTACCGATTGATTAATTTGCTCAAAGTTGTTAGTTTTATCAAGAAAATCTCATTCATATTTTGTTCATAAATTAGTTTCAAAGCCAGGTTTAAAAGTCAATGAACGACTCTTATATCGGTCTTGATGAATTTTGTTCTCAGGAAAAAGTCTTAAAATGATCTAATAACTACCGAAGTACTTTCATATATGATAATTCGTCTATGGTTTCCTTTAGGTATGTATGCACTTTTTGAAGGTCTATTGAAACTGATCTGCTAAAGTAAGAAAAAATCTCTCAACGGAATAAAAACTTTACCTATTGATCCAGTTTTCTCAAAATGAGTTTTTTTCATCAAAAAAGTGACGTTCACAAACTGTTCTTGAAATTCGAATGTTAAAAGGCAAAAAGCTTAAAGGAAAAACAAAAAAAAATCCGTCATCTGTTTTGCTGTTTCTTTTTCGAGTTGCCAGGTTCTTCCTCCATACTGTCTCTTAGCTGTTTTTTTTTACCTATGCAGCGTTTCAGTACCTTAAATAGTAGTTAACGAGGTAAATTTTCTTTTAGGACATGTGGTTTTCGTTTCAATGGAAGCTATTAAAAGTTTGTTCTCTCGATGTTATATCGGAAGCTTGACTTGAAAAGGTGGCTGACTGTTGTTTGGCTATCTTGTAAGCTTAAGTAAGCTATGGCTTAATTTAAAAGGATCACATTGTTAATCATAGTACACAAGCACTTTCGAACCCGCAATCCTTGTTTAAGTGAAATATATTTTCAATTGGTTTAGGATCATGATCTTATGAAGACGGTTGAAGAAAGCAAGCGTCTGGAGCAGGAGTTCCGTCAGTACATAGACCTGAAGATTGAAAACGAGGAACCGGAACTGACGTTCAGGACGCTTTGTGAAGCCATCGCTCGCCTTTCCTCCGAGTACCAATGGGTGCCTGTTAAATGGGTGTTGTAGGGGAGAAGACATCCCCCCCCCCGTCGAACCCAAACGCCCTCCTCATCTCAATCATGAACCCCACATAGACAGGCTAATGAAGTAGCGTAACACAACGTCTCATATTACACAACCAATGCAGCAATCAGAATCCAAGAAATGGTGGAGCACAAAATGGTTACAAATCATCCATATGCAGCAAATGAACTTCAATGCAGAAAGAAAAACTATTTTCCTGACTATTCTTTGTAAATTTTGTCCAAAATGTAATATTGCTTCCACTTCATGGTATGCAAACGCTTCTATGCCAACGTCGAAAACCAACGGTTTTATGTAATTGCCCTGTTTGATGGTCTATTTAATAGGCTATCATACTTTTTCCTCGTGAAATGGATTTTTCTGCAAATAATTGTGGTTTCTTGGGTCTAGCTGTTTGATCCATTGTCGGAGTTAAAGAATTAGCTTATTTTTTATCACTTTTATATGAGCATTCTATATGTCGTGATATATCTTTCCATTTTCACATATCAACTGACTAAATTTTCTGTTCATTTTCAATTGTATTTTAAATACTCTTTTAAAATACCCTAATTTTATGTAATGGCTATAAGTATTATCATCTTGCTCTAAACATTTGTAACTTTGTAACTACTATAGCTATCTGTTTGACACTATGGTTGAGCAAGGTCTAATTCTTTTAATCTTGTGGAGAAATTCTCTAATTGTGATTTGTAGATTAGTCCAAATTTAGTAACAAAAAGCGTTTTTGAAGATGGTGTGAAACGATATTTGATCACCCGACAGACATCTTCTATGGCCTTCTCTTTATCTCTTCTTTTGTACTTGTACTTTCCTCCTCCCAGATCTATTCGGACTATAATTAAATTTCCTCTCAACTGTCTTTTTAAGTGGCAGCAAAATTGAGAGTATAGTCAGGGGGAATCCGTCGTGCCCCGAAGGAGCGAATGACCGGAATTTATGTAAAGCAGAAATTCTGTATTCATGAATTCAATAAATATAGGCGTGAAAATCCTCCAATTTTGATAGCCTAGATGACTTTGATTTGTTGAAAATTTTCGGACATGCGGATAGCTCCAAATAGTGAGACCCATACGGGTTACGCTTTACATTAGCGAGCGTGTTGAGCAGCCGTGGCCGAGTTGGGTAAGGCACATGTCTCATCACGAGGGTCGAGCATTCGAATCCCACTTCGGTCACGATTGGATGGGTCCCAGAGTCATCCGTCTCCTCAAGGTGGGACCGGCTGCGTCGAAATGGCTGACCTCGTCCTACATTGGTTGATCCTGCACTGAACAGGAACGGGGGCTGTTTATAAAAAAAGCGAGCGTTGTTAATCCCGATGTTTTCCTGTTAACTGCTAGTCTAACTGGGTTACTTGTGATATATTGATATGGGGTTTGTTTTTTAAATTCCTTTCATGTTCAGTTAAATTCCCATGCTAAAAAGACACTTTGTTACAAGACAATGTGATCGTATTCTAATTTCGAAAGTGGAGTTTCATTTCAGAATTCCCCATGGTATGAAAACTGATCAATTAATTACTTTTCTCAAAATAGTGTTTTTTTTCAAAAAATGTCGACTGTAAATTTTTCTTAAAATAAAAGCTTCAAAGCCATAATCACGACTCGATGAACATAGTTCAGAGTGTTCAGAGGTCTTCTTGATGTTTTTCCCTTTTTTCAGAGAGACTTAAAAATTTGTTCAGGCTCTAAATTACTTTTTCGCGGTTTGACTTTTGGTTTCATTTTAGATTTTGTTCATTTCCTTTGTTCAAAGGAAGTCAAACTCCACTATCGAATAGCAAAGAGATAACGGTAGCGAAAAACAAGATTGACGTCTAGTTTTGCAAATGGAATTTTTTTTCATTTTTCCCAGCGAAAAACAAAGCTTATTTTTGATGCAATTTTCTCAAAATGGGTTACTTCTATCAAAAAAGTACCAGTCATAACTTACTTTAAATCTGCAAGTTGGATCGAATTAGAATGAAGGCCAGCAATTTGGTCTTAATAATATGAAAAAAGAAGCTAAATACATTTTTCTGTATTTACATAGCGTTTGGGGGATGAAAAAGAAGGAAAAACTCATTTCTCCAGCGTAACGAAGGGACAGTCAGGACCTTCAGCGCAGTCCTGTTTTTCTCAAAAACTGTTTATTTGGACACTTATTGCTGAGGCTCGTTCTAAATCATTTATGCGACTCTAGGTTTTGGTTGATTTTACTGAAAAAATTGCTTTTATTGTTTCTCGTCTTTTTACTGATACATAGTTGGCTAAGGTTGAAGAATAAACTAAATGATGAATAAAAGGTAAGTTTGAAAGAATCATCAAAAGGTTTAACATTGAAATTTAGGTTTTTGCAGTCTTTTTTAACTTGTGGCCTTATTGTTTGTCTTGAATTTCATCTCAAAAAGTATTCGCACAAAGTTTAAAGATGATTCTCGAAATTAGCCAGCGGAACGAAAAGGAGTGGGAAAATCCGCTTAATATACTATCATTCTGGGACGCACGGACGCCAGAACCCCCAATCTACTGGGAGGAGTGGATCATAAAGTTCCGCTGGGGCATGATCGCAAAATATGACTTTGACCCTGATGATTTTTATTTTGTGCGTACGTTAAATGCGGCGGCCATTGCAGCGTTGCCAGAGGATGTAAATGGGAAAAATCGTATCGAGGCGGAAAAGAAGTTGAAGTCTTACCTAAATCTCTGTATTGGAGACGAAGCGTAAAGGATATTTAAAGCCCGAAAACCGGCGGTAAATGTTAAAACGGAAAGGTACCCACGGGTATTGGACGAAATGCAAAATGTCTTCAAACGCGAGCGAAATGTGACACATGAGAGGGGACTCTTCTATGGAAGAAAGCAGAGGGAAAATGAAACGTTTGGAAAATTCCTGGCATAATTAAGCGCTCTTGCGGGCAGGTGTGATTTTGCTAACGCGGGCGAAAATGTTCGTGATGTTTTTATTATTAACATGCGGGAATCGGATTGCCAAAGAGAATTATCACGATCAACAAAGTTACCGGAGGAGGTTTTCAGGATTGCACTGTCCTATGAGCGAGGTGAACGTGCATAAAAATCCTACACCGGAAAACCGGCCTCGTTCGCGCCGCCGATAACCATCAAACAGGAGCCAGTTAAAAATATCAGAAGGGGACAGGGATATTTCAGAGCTCGAGCTCGCGGGGGACGCGGAAAATATACACAAAGATCAAGCAGTGGGAGCGGCGGAAGTAACCGTAGGTGTTATAATTGTGACGCGCCGAATTTTTTTCTCGATCATATTGCGAGTTGTCCTGCAAAGGGAGCAACATGTAATGCGTGTCGAAATTGGGACATTTTAAACGCACATGCAGGGGAGTTAGAAGAGGTACTAACCAGTGGAGAGGACGAGAAAAGATGGGAATCACGGGGGAAGGGAGCAGTCAGGAAGAGGAGGAATATGATGAATTACAAACATATTTCTCTAAGTGGTAGCCAAATTTATTTACCAGAACAGGGAAAATCCGAAACGCTAAAGTAAGAGCCGAGTTTTTTGAAAATCTAAAGCCGATACAATAAAAAGGGCGTCGAGTGCCTTTCAGTCTACAAGATAAAGTAGACAAGGAAATTGATCGATTGATAAAAGAAGGTCTTATCATCAAAGTACAAAAATGTTTGGATAAGAAATTTGTCTCTCCTATAGTAATCACAGTAAAAAAAGGTGGAAGTATCAAAAAATGGCATGAGAATCAAGAGAACTGAACAAGCAAGTACACAAGAATAGGTACCAAATGCCATAATAGGAATAAGTCAATTAATTGCAGAACGAAAAGCAGGGGATGTACACTTTACAACTTTGGATTTCACTTACGCGTACGGACAAGTTTCCTTGGAACAAAAGGCAAGCGAGCAATGCAATTTTTCACTAGTCGGCGGAAAATCGACGGGAACATATTGTTTTAAAAACGGTTTTACGGGCTCACATCAATGCCGGCGGAGCTTCAAAAAGTCATTGATAATTTACTTAAGGAATTTCCTCAGGCAAATGCTTTCATCGATGATATCCTAATTGCGTCGAAGGGAGCAAAAATAGAGCATATTGCATTAGTGGAAAAAATATTGAAGAAATTGGACGTATCAAACGTTTCTTTGAAAACACGGAAATGCGAATTTGCAAAAACCGAGTGTAAATAGTTAGAGTTTCGAATTGGGGAAAATGGCATCGCGCCATTAGTCCGGAAAACATAAACGGTAGAAGATTTGAAAACCCCAAAATCTAGAAAGCAATTAAAGTCACTAATGGATTCGATGCACAGTTTGCATAAACTTTTGCCAAAAATCGCTGAAGTGAGCGCACCAGTAAGACCATTACTCAGTCAGAACAACGATTTTGTCTGGACGCCGAATTGCGAGAACGCGTATCAACAACTAAAATCGCTAGTGAAAAACATTGTAGAACTTTGACATTTTCATATTCACCGTGAAACTAGGATAATTTGTGATGCTAGTCACGATGGCCTAGGGGCCGTGTTAAAACAGTACAGCGCCTCCGGTTGGCACCCGATTTCGTTTGCGTCACGGTATCTTAATCCGGCCGAGAAAAAGTATTCTACGAACGAGATAGAATTACTCGCGGTAGTGTGGGCTACGGAACATTTTCGAAACTATATCTATGGACGTTATTTTACAGTTATAGCAGAGCACAAGGCGTTGCTTACACTAATAAATTCTTCCCCAAAAGGAAATAAAACATTCTTTAGTCGGTTAACTCGATGGTATGATCGACTGGTGCCATACGACTTTAAAGTTGAACGTTGACAGGGGCCGAAAATGGGAATGGCAGACTATTTGTCTCAGTTTCCATCTGCAGCGGCGCCTGAGATAAGTCATTACGATGAAAGTTTTACAATAGCGAAAATAAAAAAGATCAACGATGCATTGAAACCTAAAGACCAGTTAAAGCCTGGGAGTCAAAGAGTGAATCAAGTTAGGAAAAACCCGACGGTAGAGGGCGGACAGTCATGTTCCTACTCAAAGAGAAAAGTTGTAGCCAATGAAATTAAAAGAAAAATTGAATATGCAAAGATTCACCGTGAGCACACGTGCTCACTAGAGGGCGTGGTTTCATGCAACCGATGGTTAGCCAATCAGAATCGAGATATTTGCATACCGGCGGAAATATGCAAATTCCGACCCGAGAAAATCAGACCTTGTTCTCAGTACGTAAAATCAAGTTGTGATCTTAAAGGAATATTACGAAAAGTATTCATCAAAAAATTCACCCGAGAAAAGCGATTCGAAAACACCTTCAGCTATTGTTAATACCTCCACTCATTCCGGAAATGTAAATCTCAATGTAGCTTTAAATCGATTAAACCAGCCGCCGAGCTTAAGTTCTGATTCTGATATAGAAGTAATACCGCCAGATAAAGTTATTCCGAAACCGAATAATTCGAAAAAGTTAAGCACTGTCATTTCATTCCCCCATCAGTTCCCAGGATTATCTTATCCCTTTGTGCAAAGTGATAAATGGATTTATTCAATAGTGCCTACTGATAGTCGAGTAGTTAAGAAAATTAATTACCCTGAGATTCTAAATTTGAAACTATTTGAAGCCGACTTGGAAAAGGACCAGATATTTAAGAAGATCCGCGACGCAATCCGAGACAAGGACCCACGGGCCAAGGACACCATTATTAGATTGGGGCAATATTACGCACAACATTTCTACAATTTTGCTGTGCGCGAAAACTGCTTGTGGATGGATGGCCGGCTGGCCATACCGAAGGATATGTCGTCAGCAGTGTTAAACCGATTGCATCACAACCATCATGGGTGGGATAAAATGTTTGCGGCGGCGAAGAACGTCTGGATACCGCTTATGCATAGAAACCTTGCGGCCACAACCAAATATTGTAAAAGCTACCTAGAAGCAGGTAAAAATCTTAAACCGGACATTCCAAAAAATGATATGGGGGACACCTATGTGCCCAGGGAACCTATTGATTTGGTTCAATTAGATTTCTGGGGTCCGGTAAATTATGTACTGGGTCGGAAGAAAAATGTTCTAGTAGCAGTAGATACGTTTTCGCATTGGCCGTCGGCTTATGTCTGTTCCAGTTTCTAGTCTAAAATTGTAATAAAATTCCTAAGGAAGTACATAATTACACATGGGCACTCAAGGAAATTACATATGGATCAAACAACTGCGTTTTTCTCGAATGAGGCACAAAACTTCTGTAATTATGAGGGCATTGAATTTATAAAATCTCCGGTTAAGGACCATCGTGCTACGGGGATGGTCGAAAGGACAATTGTCTCGATAAAAAACTACGTTCTATAATATCTCCAGGAAAATAAAATTTATAAATTTGGATTAATGATATCCCGTGCCCTGAGTGCTTTACGATTTGTTCGCATTCTAAGACTAAGCCAGCGCCATTTGAGGCCTATCATAGAAGAGAAGCAAATACGGCCCTTCGAAATTTGACGAAAAAGCCATCATTGAAAAATCTAAATTGGAAAATTGTCATTGACCAGAATCTATCTTGTTTAGACAAGGCGAGTGGTCTACCTGATGTGAAATTAAATCTCGATTGGGAGAAACGTAGTGATCTCGTGTACGCCCCGGAAAACCGTAAAACCCCAAGGGGTTTGGATGAGAATGACGTGATCGAGACAGAAGTGGATCCTAAGGCCACAGAGGTGGTGGATCCCAAGGCACGAGAGTTGCCCAAGGCACCAGAGTGGTTAAAACGGCACAAAACCAGTACCACGACGGTATATCAGAAGACCGGGAAAACGGACCCAAAGGACCCAAGAAGGTATAGACGTTTACCATTAAAATTGAAAATTAACAAAACACACGCTGCAAATGAAAAAAGGTTCGTTACTAAGGCGAAGTGGTCTTTCATTTAGAACGGCGGCTGAAGAAAGCCGAATTGAGAAAGGGACCGACGCTAACACCCCGGGTCCAAGCAAGCCTACGAAGCTTAAGAGGCAAGCGGAAAAGGACCAATTAGAAATAGAACAAGTGCGAAAAACGAAGAAAAATCGAATAGTCGAGTACAGCGAAGATGAAGATACGAAACGAGCGCGAAAAACAAAGAAAAATCGAATTGTCGAGAACAGCGAAGAAAAAAGTGACGAAGATGAGGATAGCGAATGGGCAGTCGTGGGGCGCGCGGGCGAAACCGAGAAAACTGCGGCGATCGGAAAGAACGAACCGTCGGGAACGGATAGGGAACAGACACCAAAAACCGTCGGTAATAAAAAGAAGCTGGGTGAGGACGCAACGCGCAGATCGACGTGACAACGGAGAGCAGTCGACAAAATGGGTGGAGTGATGATTCACCGGATCGAACACAAATGAGAGAAAAAGGAAAAAACCTTAGGGAGAGGTTTGGCAAGCATGCCTGAAAACTAAAGTTGAAACTAAAACTGTTCATTAAAACTTTGGCTAAATTGATGAGTTGATAAATTTTACATCTACGTTTTAAAATTTATTTGTGGTTGCCCGAATGAGATAGGGACCAGTTTGAGTTTATGTAAGTTATATAAGTTTGTTTCTTTCTGTCTGGGGACCTGCTGTCGTGACCTTGCGATCTCTATCGTCTGGTACGAGCTAAAACAGAAAGCTGCAGTAAGATTTAGATTTGATGCCTTACAATTGCTTTACAATTATTCTTTTTCTTCTATACATTCCACTACTTCAACAGAAATAATTGTTCTCCAGAGAAAAAACAAATTGTTGTTTTATTATTTTGGAAAACTTGAGCGCATCAAAATTAAGTATCCATTTTTTTTCAGTGTACGCGACTGAAGGCTAAGGTAAAAATTACTGAGTTAAGTATGGGGAAATCATAACTAATGAAAACTGCTTTTGCTCATCAGTGAAAGCAAATAGTGAAAATCATAAGGGGATAAAATGGATCTACTAGAAATCAAACCGAAAATCACAAGTTTGAAAAGCAAAAATCATCCGGTTTTGATAAACTAGTGTTCTGTTTGTTGAATCAAGCTTATAGACAGTCGTGATTTGGTTGGCAAGTACATCTAAGGTTAATTAAATTTTTATTTTTTTTTCGTGTTTTTCATTAACACCTAAGAAAAAATTGAAACGCGTTGGAGCAGTTTTGGGGGCAATGCTTTTGTAGTAACCCAGGGCAAAATCTACGAAATAAGCATCAACGATAGAGTTACTGTTTTACGTCAAATTTGAGGTTTTTAGTCGCATTCTGCAAAATTTGTTTTCCGGAACTTTGTTTTCTCTGATCTAGAATAAACTATGTGATTCTCAATATTCTAAAGCATGCCTAAAGTTCAAGTTGTAGGGCTGGGAGAGTAAATGTTTTAAAACAAGACAAAAAACTCGTTATTAAAACAGAATAAAAAAACGGTGTTTATCATATGAAATTGTTTACCGCTAAAAACTTAATTTACTTGGTTAAAGTACTTTTAAAGTTTGGTAACATAGGAGTATTTAGACAACCGAGTAATCAGACTTGTCAGTAAGCAGACAAACACTATATTAACAAATCAGAAAATCGAGATGAGAAAGCAAACTAATGAATTAATTAATGATCAATTATTAGTTTCTTTCTCAATTTGATTCTGAGTTGGTACTTTAGTATTTGTCTGCTTACTGACGAGTATGAAGATGCGGTTGTCTAAATACAGACTGAACTCCGAAAGTTTTTTACCGCTCAAGCTCCTCAATGAGGCGGGGTTTTTAAATAGTTTTAGTTGATATTGCACTCAGCTAGAAAACTCCCAACGACAGGAATGACTGATGGAAAATTAATATAAGCAAAAAGCGGCTAAAATGAGGGAAAAAATAGCATTTTTTTTACCGTAAAGTGAACAACTGTGAGAAAAACAATAAAACTTGTTTTTTTTTTTTTGAAAAAAAAAAACGCTGTTTAATTGATTTTTTCTGCAAAAACCCTGGTAAGTTATTGTTACGACTATTGAAAACGCCATTTTGGGAATCAAATTTCAAAAAATGTCTGCAAAAAAATGAATTTGAATTTTTGAATGTTGTTCATTTAGTACAACATGGATAGTCATTTTGCTGTGTGTAAGATCCGGACTTTTTTGCTGCGTCAAGGGTTTCTGAAATTTCATCTAAAAAGCTTTGGTAAATGAATCAGACCTATGCGCAAACACCCATTTTTCTATAATTACAACTTACCTTGCAAACTTAGTTTTTCGCGGAAAGCCTAAACTAAATAATAATAATACCTAATTAATAGTGCCTAATAATTTGTTTAATATCTTACGTGTGTTTGATAAAAGTCTACCTTTTCGTTCATATAGGGATTTTTTCGTTTAGGGATCAAATCAAGTGATTCCGTATTGATTTGTTAGCTGTCCTCTCAGGTGCCTTGCGTATGTTTTCTGCTCTAACTTATTTGGTGCTAAACTTAAATCAGATAAATCAATTTGTCTTCTTCTTAATGAAATGCGAGCTCAAACTCCCATTTTGCGTTGATTTAATGTGAAGTGCTTTCACTGAGACTGCTTCAGAGGTCCAGCACCAACCACGCATATCAGGTAAACGTTAATCGAAAACTGAAATGATAGCTTGCATTACGTGATAGTGGTTCGGATAAAGTGTGTTTTATAAGGATAAGCAGAAAGCACAGTGTGCTGGTAACTAGTTGGGGATTGTAGATCCCATTTTTGTGTCAATTTTTTTTGGTCTATCAAAATATTTTGTTTTTGGGTTGATTATTCAGACGTCTTTACAGTGAAATATTAAACAGACTGTGGGTAACTAAGTTGGGGCGGATATAATCAGGTGTAATTCCTCAAGACGATCCTAAATCAAATTTCGTATCAGGCAAAATACAAATCATGTCAGTATGCTAAAAAGACGTTGTCTGCTGTGACCCATTCATATGTCGACCGAAATTATACTTGCTCTAATTTTGGTAAAAGTCTCAAAAATCAATATGACACTTTTTGAAGAAAAAAAAAACAGGTTGAGTCAACAGTTTCAATTCATTCGTCTTCAATGGTCATATGGTCAAAATTTGGTAGAGTAACCGCCCCCTTTAATCTATCTAGTGCAGTAAATCTTTAACTGAGGTCGGCAGTTTCAGTTGTGGAGTCAAGTGATTCAGATTCTTCGAGTGAGTCAGTCAAGTATTTTTAAATCTTTAACCGATTTCCGAATCCTAGAAAAATAGTATTGCTAATCGCGCATTTTTTTGTTACTTTGCGGCTTTTTTCCACGTCTAGTAGTCGTATGCTCCGAAGAAGGGGTTCGCATCTTGAATGGCCTCGACATTGTGGAACACCTCCTCGACGTTCGCTTGATGATCAAAGGAGCTCTGTCCGATATCGAAGGCAGCAGCCATCGAGTCAATAAGTACTGGTAGGTAGTCGTTCTTGGCCGACGCAAAGAATTCAGACTGTCGGATGAATCGGGTTCCGTACATGAAACCGATGATGGTGATGTCATCCTCCTCAATGAAGCTGATCTTAGATGTGGATCCAGGTACCAGGCCATCGTGACTGTACCTCTTCAAAATGGCGCCTGTGGGCTTCTCTGCCTGCTCGCCATTCTTATTTATTTCTGTAAAAATTATCAATTTGTGTAAAACAGCTGAAAATTTTTGACCCTCATAAAAAAATTTTCATAAAAATACAAGCTGAAATAATGATTTCAAAACCAAATTTTTCGAGGGAAATTTTTTAAGCGGCCAAAAAAATGAGGCAAGAAAAAAACAAGGAAAACAGTTGTGGACTCACTGTCGTATCTGGCTACGAGCACTCTGAGATCCTTCTGAGGTGTGTTTTTGAGGAGAATCTCTTCGGCTATCACTCCCGAACTGGAGTCGTGAGAGACTGTGGCCTTAGACCCCTCGCACCCAGTCTCGCCCGCGGCAATGTCTCCCTTCAGCACTATTGCTTCACCCTGTTACAGAAAAATAATTGTTACTCTCAGTTCAGTGCTATGAAAAATAATTATGAGCCGTTTTTACTTGGTTCACTCAAAATTGCAAATCTTCAAGCCACCAGTGCTCAGCAATTCTATGTAAATGCTGAAAAAGTCTTTGATTATAAATTTTTTCAAAACGTCATTTTCATCCGAAAAAAAAAATCATTTTTCATATAAAAAAAGTGCGTTTCTCCACTTCCTAAAGAACAAAAACAACTCGCATTATGAAGTGAACTCATGATACATCAAAGTAATTACTTCAAGCTCGATCGAAAATAATTTATGACTTGAGGGAACAGACAAAAGAATCAACAATTTCCACTGCCTATTAGCTAAAACTATTATCATGAAAAAACTGAACGATTTATATGTAATTTTTCATTATGACTAAACTAAAAATTGAAAAGCCTATTGATGGTAGGAATTCGATTTCATAGGCCCGTACGAGAGCTCATTGCCTTAATGAGTAATTATATTCAAACATATTCATCTATAATTAAAGAAAAACCTAGTTGAAAAAAGGGTAGCCGGTTATTGTGCAAATAGCACAGAATGTTCCAACCATAGTCAATTTGTTTTTCAAATTGGTGTCATTTTTCTGTGTAAAACGCTAAAAAGATCTGTACGAAAAAACAGAATTTAGGCATACTCGACTGTCATAGTCAAATTGGCGAATTGGAAAACAGCTTTTGTAGAAGAAGACTGAAAAGTTTTAATAAAATTGAATAGAACAGAATAGAATAGAATAGAATTATAAAAAATTTCATAAATTTTTTCTAAATTTTTCGTAGTTTTTTTGAAATTTTGAAATTTTGATTCTCAATATGGCACTAGGAAACTCTATAAATTAACTTTGCTCGAGTACAAATAAGTTTTCACGGCTTGAATAAGCTTCTGTAAGGCTGTACGCTGACTTTATTTTCTCAAAAATAGACCAAAAATCAAAAGTTGTAAACCGGTTTTTCTCGACACTGATCTTTCATTGTTGCTCTTCTTTTGTTCTTTGATTTTCTTTGATTGTTCCGACAAAATTTTAACATGTTTAATGACTTGTCTCTGGAAGCCAGGAACATACAGACACAAAACTGTGCTCCTATCCAGTGCACAGTTTGGCCTCATAATGCCCGAAAACAAAGCTCCTGCACATTTTTCAAATGTTTGGAGAAAAAAAAGGAAGAAAAAAAAAACACAGGCGAATACAAAGATCCTCCGCATTTTTCAAACGGTCGGAACAATTATTTAAATAGTTAATCACCAATCCGTCATATATTTGAAAACAAATTGCTCAGTTCAATCAAACTTTGAGTACAGTTTCACAAAGTCCTTCTTGTAACAAGGCAAAATTCAACTAACCTTACAACACGTTTTGTTGTATTATAAATTAAAATTTGATTTGGTTGTACTTTATCAAAACATATTTGAATAAAATATCTGATCTTTGCTATCACACTGCAATTCCAACCAACTTTTTTTGATTTTTTTTCTGATAAAAAACCATAATTTCAAGTTCAACGAAGAGATGAGAAGCAATTTTTCTTTTCGATCTAAAAATTGGCATTTAATTCAAAAACTGCCATTGCTATTGTGGGTATTTGACGTTGATTTTTTTCAGATCAACCATGATGATTGACACCGCTCTGCGAGTGACTAACAAAAATTATTATTCCGGCCACTTGCTGGTAAATATGGCTTTTTGACTGTTTTTTACTCGGCATAAACACCACGTGTTGTTTGGCCACTAATGGAGTAAAGTAGTATCGAATAGATGGCCTCGTGGAAAAATCTGCCACCGGTACCCCAATCCCCCCCCCCCCCCCCCCCTCCGTGTTTGGCAAAATGCTTTTTTTAGGATCAAAACAGAAGTATGATTGATTACAAATTAATGACTAAACTGAAATCCAATTAAATCAGCTGACATCGTGGCTCGTAATTTCTTAGTTTCTGTTCTGCGAAATTTTTAGATGTTGAGTTGCAAAAATTAGTAGGCCGTGAGTTCAGTGAGCTGGTTTGATTTCCTTCAGAGCTACAAAACTATGATATACGTACCTCGAAAGTGTCTTCGCAGATGAAGTAGATATCCAGACTAACGTCATTTGCGACCGTCCATTGCAGCGAGAACAGAGTGTCATTTTCAGCTGGTTGCTGGACCATGTCGAAGTAGTGGGATCCCTGCTGGATATCGCGTTGGTTAATCGTGCCCTCCACTGGGAAGTAGCCCGGGCAATCTACAGAGTACTGGTCGCCAATGTAGACCACAGCTACATCCACAGATTGGCTCCCTGAGAGGGTTCCAGAGGATGTGACGTTGGCTCCGTCGAACTGGAAGCGACAATTCTTCAATGGAGACGCGGTCTGGTAATCCCAGAACGAGAATCGGAAGTCATCCACCACTCCCGTCTCGGCCGTGTTAACGGTCACGTTATCAGCTGGAAACAAAAGATATCTAGCCGCATTCCATCATTTCATTATAATATCATGTTTATTATTGTATTATCTTTTATCTTACATCATCTAGCAAGTTAATTTAATTGAACAATATATGTAGTCTCGTACACTTAAATAGATATTACGTTTCATCATGAAAGTTGGTCCATTTCTTAAAAATCGAAACAAAAAAGCTGCTAAGGCTTCATTCATAACAGAAAATTGCAGGAATATTAGAACTATATTTGGATTTTTTAAACGTTAATGAAGCATTTAAAGTATTGCTGAGTTTGAAGAAGCCAGCATAATACAAGCATAAGACTGATTGAGTTATGAAGAAATATCCGGAAAAGAAGAGACAAATATTTTGGATGCTAACCCTCATCACACATGTTGCACAGACACTCCTTCTGTGCTACCGGGACATCTCTGTTCACGATAACATCCCTGCGCAACACTGGAAGCGACTCCATACCGTCATTGGCCAACACAAGTTCAGTTTTGAACACCAAACATTTGAACTCCACTGTCTTTTTGATGATCTCCTTCGACTTGCAGCAGTTGCACTCCTCGTCAGGGTTCCGATCGGCGTGGAATAGGTCCATGATTGAGGTACTCCTGCCGCACTCTCCCTCACACCAGGCGATCGGAACAAGGTCGCTGCTTTCGCACAGGAACATCTCGGACTCGCCGTCATCGTTGGCTGAAAAAACCCATCAAACCTTGAGAATAATTATTTAAATGCATCTATACACACTTTTAATCCAACAATGGTGGATTCCGCAAAAAAAACAAGCAATAGTGATCTGAGATCAATTGTGTTTTGTGTTGGCAGTAAAGAAATTATCAAATATGAACGATTGAAGGATTTAACTAATTATTTGAATGATTGAGTAAGAGCTTTTAAAAAACAGTCGTCCTAATCAAATGAGACTCGTTCAGACTACGAGTTTGTTCAGATCAAGAGATTCGTTTAGATTCGTTCAGATCAAGCGTTTGTTACTTCTACTCGGAAAATTTGGTCTAGCTGCAAAAAGAGTATCGATATTTCACACGTATCGCGACGTATGAAATGGAAGGATGCCTTTGGTTTTTTAGTCCTTTTTGAGCGTATAGAGATAAACCTCTTCCTCTCACCTATAGTATTGAAAGGCAGCTAAGACACCTTCAAAAACTTTATGGCTTTCCGACCAACAATTGATGCCGCTAATAGACCTTGACCATAATGGGAGCTGGGATATAAATGAACTGAGGACGAAACAGAATTGAGGACGGGAAGATGGGTGGGATTTGGGGGTTAATTTAATTGTGTCTTTATGTACAATGACTCACTGTCTTCGAATGTAGTAGTGAGGTTGCGAACATCGTGGTGTAAATCGCAGCACACTTCAATCAGCGCACACCTGGTTCCACACTTCTCTTGTTGTATCATCACTGTGCCTGTCTCGTCCTTATACATCTGTTAAAAAACATAGAGTCGTCATTAAATCAATCATACTGATGCCAAAATAAATTAAAAACTTAAGCCATAAATTATACCAAAGAGTCACACATGTAATTCAATACATTTTAACTATATTGACAGGGACGGATCTAAAATTTTCTCGATGGAGGAGGTTATATTTCCCAGAAGTTTTCGAACCAATTTTAGGTCGACCAAAATGATCATCTGAAGTCCCCTAAAAACTTTAAAGACCCTGTTTTTTTTCAAATTTTTCTGCGCCACATTGAACTAATTGAAAAAAAAAAACCAAAAATGGCATTTTTGGCTGTTTATGGGAGGCATTTTTGTTTTTTTTTTGGACGGTTTTCACAAAAAAAATCTTGCTTTTTGGTGCGCGCTCCCAAAATCTGCAGAAATCAAATACTTTTTTGGCTGAAAATTTTTTGGATGAAAACTCATAATTGAATTGAGGTGTAACACCTACTGTGGATTTCGAGTGGATGACACTATTCTGACGCCTGTAACATTGTAAATACGAGAACACCTTATTCCAAAAAATTGTTCTTTCTTGGATTTTTTGGAAAATCGATTTTTTGAAAATCTGCGTCAAATAATTGGAAAGCTTGAGTTTTCTGTTTTTTTTGGAGCTTGATTTTCATGAAGAAGTAAATAATCGATAATCAAACGACTTTTACAACTAATCGATCGAAATCGATCAGACGCGCTGAGCTAATTAATGCACAGCCTTATGGTCGAAACATTATCATGAAAATTTTCAATTTTCCTCTCTTTTTTTCAGATTCCAGGTTTATGGAGTTGAGGTGGCGGTTTTATTTGAGACTTCCTACCTCCTGGCACTCCTCGAGGGTGACGTCAGTCTCGGAGGATATGTAGTCGATTGTTCCGTACTCATCTGCACAAATAGCCTCCATACAGTCGCTGTCCTTCGCCTTGCTCATCTCCGCATCAGGAACGGTGAAGTTCATAATGGTCTCACCCACTCCCTAAAAATCACAATCACTATTGCAACCAATTCTTCATACACTTGCCAAAAATCTTTTTGTTGCATTTTTTTGCTTTGTTTTTCATCTCTATGAAGCTAGCGTTATCATGCTTCGAATATTTGCGGCAACTTTTAAGAACAAGATATCGAGTAATAAGCTGAAAAGTTGATGAAACACTTATGATATGAAAAGCATGCTTGGAAATTAGAACCTCGGTTATTGAATTTTGAGCAATTTTTTTTAGAAACAACGAATTCTAAGGTGTAAAAAACAAGCCAATTCATAAACGAACCAAAAATGAGCAGCGTATAAACTAGCCGGATATTTGGTTCATTTGTGCAGATAATTGTTTGATTCTTCTCAACTGATACAATTATTAAAAAATTACAATATAACTGCTCAATAGTTTCAGTTATTTGATATGATAGCTGGTTCATACTTCGCCTGGTTTAAATACCAACTAATGACTTATAATCCGTGAACGAGGTTAGCTAGACTGGTGATAGATGACTTACATATTCTACTCCGTTGTAGCTGCATCTGCATCCATAAGTCACGTTCATCTTTCCCGCATCACACTTGCTGAAAAAAAAACATCAATGAAAATTAAAGAGGAGTAATTGGTTACTATGTAGATAGCACAGAGTGTTCCGACGACTATTATCACTGCAAAAAATAAACATACCCTGCAAAAGCATAGCAGTGCAAAATCCTGATCAAGAAAAACAACAACTTTTTTTAAAATATTTTCCTTATTTCTTGACTTAAATCCACAGAGCATTTTATAATTGAATGGCTAAAACAAGAGAATTTTAGCAGTCCTTTATAAATCAAGCAAGCATTGAGTGTGATCGATAATAAAGGTCATTTTTAGGGGGCTGTCTACTGATTTAGAAGGAATTGAGTCTAGAGTTGATTTGGCTGTGGTCGAAGGGAATTGTTGGGTAGTGAAATTTTTGTTGATTAATTAAAAGGAGTACCGCTGACTATTTTTCCAGAAAATGTTTAAAATTTTTTTCTCGATTTGCGATTTGCGGGATTAATGTAAATTTTTATCAAAGTTTGAGGGTTGGGTGCTTCGAAAACCGGATGTCGAGCTTAACTTTCTAATATTTCTGGTACATGGTGCATAAGGGTCACTGATCCATTTGTTAAGTCTTACAATAGGTCTTTCTTCGATGGGTTTCTTGATCTCAATACAAGGTATTAAAGGTGATGATATTTATCGAATACGCGCCTGCTGGATTGGGTAATTTGCACTCCCAGGGAATTTTGCAGATCGAGACCAAGTAAGCGTCTGGTCCTATTCTCAAAGATTAAATTTTTTGCTGATTGAAAATGCCAACCGAGAGACGATATATATTATTATCAGAGTAACGAGTAGCTTGATAGTTTTCTTATTCTATTCTGCATAGCCAGTATCAATTAGCATTTCTGAAGTTGATAGTACTTTTAATGGCTCCAGTCCTTAGTAAGGTATCCCCGGTCTTCTTATTAAGTAAAAAACTGGGTTGCCTGTGTCTACAGAGGCTGTAAAAAATGTTTGGCCCACTAATCTTGAAAAAAATGACTCTAGATTTTCGCGTTCTGATTGAGATGTATTGCACAGATTGATTTTTCCAATAATTTACTTTTTTTTAAAATAAAATTTCGACTTGATTATAAAGATTCAAATTTGAATTTATGCGATGTTACTTGAGCGTAATTCTGTTGACATTTTCCTACTCGCTTTTCTTAGCGAGAAGAATAATCCGGATTTAATCCTCTGGTCGGTTTCTTGAAAAGTTACTTTTGATCCAATTTTTGACCGGTCTTTGTTTTTTCATTCAGTTTGATGGTTTTCCAAATTTCAGCCTGGGCTTTCGATTTTTTTTCTGTCAGGTTTATAGAAACTTTAGAAGAAAACAAGGACAACTGAATGGTGTGCAAAAAGCGCAGAATGGTCCAACTACAATTATTTAAGCAAAAAACTCAATTTACAGAAAAAAAATTCAAAAACGAGTAAAAAATGTCGATTTTTTTTCCCCAAAAATTCGAAGATTTTTTTTTTTATAGTTTACTGCCAATTTTTGATTAAACATTGACTAATTTAGGTGAAAGAACTGAGGAACCAAAATGAAAACACTTCATAATTTCAGCTGAATTGAATTGAGATATCAACAAAATCGTCAAAATTCATCAAACTTCGTCTAATTTAATCTGAATACTGAAAATGTTTACACCCACTTTTCTCGAAATTGCGTGATGTGTTTTTGATTTTCCTTAATCCAAATCACGACCCAAATAGCTTGGTTTTCTTACCACACTTGAACTCACCTCAATGTGCATGAAATTTGGTTTCACGGAGCCAAAATCAACAGTCTTGATAACTGATGACGAAAAGACAACTGGGAAACAAAAGTCCATTTCGATCATAGCTTTAAGGTGAGTCTTTTCTAAACTTTAGGAGAGACTTGCCCAGCTTAAGCCACTTTAAACGGACTAGAGCGACCATGGAGTATTCATTTCAGAAATTGGATATTGTGTGTACAGTTTTTCAAGGTGAATTTTTGTAATTTTACGAACAAGTGACAAGGTATTCCCAGTTCAGGAGTCAATGCACAGTCGTCCATATCGATCTCATCAGCTGCGAACAGTTGTATCACATTCCATGCCGCCTTTGATCCGGTGAATGCGGCCAGTTCCAGAGCTGACACTGATCGGTCCAGAAGCATCAGAGGCAAACTGCACGAGCACTCGTCCTTAGACACGCAGCTCTCGGTTACCATGTCGTAATATGTGCCCTCGGCACATACACACTTGTAGTCGGGCGTCAATCCTGTCGGCAGATGGTTCTCATGAGAATATAAACACCTACCCCCACCCAATATGGAACCAAATACTTTTTTCCTCCAAAGCATACATCGTTCGAGAGACTAATAAGCCATTTTAGGTTATTTTCAAAAAAAATTCATAAATTCATTTTAAAATAAAAAAATGTAGCTATGCTACAATATTCCTCGAAAAAAAATCTTTTTTTTTTATATGATGCTACGATGCTAGATTTTTGACAAAAAATACGTGTAAATAAAACTTGTTTTCAGTTTCAATGATATCGCAAATACAAAAAATGATAGCTCGTGCCTGTAGGTACGTAGTCTTCGGAAGCTCCGGCAGCGCACAATTCAGGGTTGGTGGCTCCGAAACAAGTGTACTGACACCAGTTTTGACCCTTGTCTTCCACGAGTTCCTTGCCGGCACCCGCGTCACCTACAATCCAATGCAAGTTGTAGTTTAGCTGCAGAATATTTTGTTGCTGCTGCAAAATGTAGCAGATACTCTGGAGAAAAATCTTCAAAAAAAAACGATACAACCCAAACTTAAAAAAACTGACCAGAAAATTAAGGAAAAAAAGACTTGAAAAACTGTAGAGTCTGCGTAGCAACAAGGCCTCGCTGTAAAACACAAGCTTTGATTGCGGGTTTTTCCGTAGCAAACATTATTGTGCAAATGGTAGAAGTACTTGCAAGCAATCTGATGTTGGCATGTTCGAAATTCACACATGAGCTTCAATTTACAAGGTCAACACTAATAAACTAAGTCATAAAGTCATAGCGTTTTTGCCTAAATAATTCATCTTTGGGTTAGGCTTCTGGCTGCTTAGCTAAAATTATAATAAAAAAGTAGTATTGCTCGTACACTCATCGGGGGTGCATGTTCCGGCACAGACATGTACTGTGACGTTGAGGGGGTCACACTCCATCATGCAGTTGTTGCTGATTGAGGGGGCGGCTAAGTCCCTCTCGTCGCAGTTGAGACTCCACGAGCCGAAGAAGAAGTCGCCACATGTCAGGTTTCTTTCAAGGTCAATGCACACTAAAAACATACTCGTGTTTCAAAAATAGATTCCCACCGAAAACAAGTAAATAAGTAAAGAATTTCCAAACAACTTTTTTTTCGAAACTGCTCAGTACTGCATTTATAAATAATGCTCGATTGTGATTGGCGAAAAAATAAGAAAAACCAAGTTACTATCACTATCTACATGCTTACATGTCGCCTACCCGTTTCAAAAAGGAGGACTTCAATTAATGGTCCCCTCATTAGTTGAATTCCATTGACGTAAAATAAATTTGCTCGGGAAATATGGTTCGATTCTCAAGTCCGTAAACTGGTTATAATTTAGTTCCATTTTTATAAAACGATAATATTGCGAGGAACAGATTAATTGTCGCTCGATTAAAAATGGATTATAATGTTACTTTTTCTCTAAACATTAAAAATCCTTTTAATCGAAATCCTGTAATCGAAATAGCCAGGGGGGATTTAGAGGGGGTGGGGGGAGGGATGACCGAAAAACGCTACTTTTCGGTCAAAATTTCCTTAAAAAACGCCTAAAAACGCCTTTTTTGGCCTGTTTTTTCAAAACTTTGCCTGCGGCGCAGAAAATAAAACCAAAACAGGGTCTTTTTAATGCTTTGAGAGAGCTCGGAAAATCAGTTTGGTCGATCCAAAAAAAAGGTCGACAAAATTTACAAGCCCTCGAGAAAGTCCTAGATCCTCGAGAAAATCCTAGATCCGCCCCTGTTTATAAATTAAACTTAAATTAAATTTGATTTTTTCTGTGTTTTCATGCAGAATAGCTAAATTATAATCCATTATATTTGAGTTTTTTGTGAGATAATATTTTGTTAGAAAGAAGGATTATAAGTGATTTCCGGAAAAAATATAATCAATTATAATTGATTATAAATTATTGAAATGTCACCAAAAGGTTATCATTATAATAGATTATAAATCATTTAAACATCTAAAATTGGTGCCTATAACTAATTATAATTTTGCTAAAAGTACGATTATAATTATAATATAATTGATTAATTTCTCTTTTTACTGAGTGCGCGCAGTTATCCAAATCGTTCTAACTGCATGATATCACTTTTCGCGAGGTGGAGGCTGAAGAAAGGGCATGCAGAAACAGGAAAACAGGGAAAAGATTAGAAGTTTAACTCTTGAGTTTGTTATATTGTTATAAGGACCAATACTTTGTTACCCTTGTGATTATCGAGGGTGTTGCAACCGGGTACAAGGACTTTTTTTCACAAAAACAACTTTGCTTACAAGATTTAGCATGTGAGAATGTTACGCGTGTTTCAACTTGCTTCATAAAAACTTCAATATAAATTAAATGTTCAGCACATCGGGCGTAAAGTTAACACCTGCTTAAGGCGACAAAAACATGTGGTTCAAATCCGACCGGCATATGTTTTGTTTCCTCAAACTATAAATTCTATACTTTTTCGGACTCGAGTCCTGTTTATTTGTCGGCTTAGTTCCCATAGCTCGATTTTTTTGAAAGTTCAACCTTCTTCGAAATGTCCGAATGCCATTTCTAAAGTCGAATTGGCGGAGGTAGTTATGTAATGCGGGTAGTTTTTTGGGTAATTTTTCGAGGAACTTTTGTTTCACTTTTTAAAATTTTTGTTTTTTGAAATTTACAGTATTTTTTTTGAAGCTGTTAACTCTGTCGATTAATATCCACAAAATTATTACGCCTGCAACTTTTACGTTTGCGATAAGCAAGCGTTATCAATTCGGAACATACATTTTTTTGTAAGCAACTTACCCAACAGAATCACTGAATTGCTTTCTCAAATCAGCACTTTCGTCAACCAACAGATAACTGCTGACCATGTCTGCATATCAGAAATCAGTTCTCTATGCAATTTGATTTTATTGTTACTACCTCTGGTTCAGAAAAAAGTACGTTTCGTGATTTTACCAACTCCGGTATGGAAAAAAGTTCCTTTTTTCTGTTTTTTTTTACTGGGCTCAAAGCTCTCAGCTCAGCTCATACTTGATTGGTTTAGTGGCATCATGTTACGCCATTAGAGGATCGAAACAAGTTTTTCATGCGTGCGAGTCTTTGGAGGAGTTATTGTATTGTTTTCAAAGAGTCTTTTGAGGTTTTTTCAATATATTTTGTGGTGCAACGGGTTTCTGCCCAAAAATGATCGGTTTTGTTACCAGTTATAAATTTTCTTTCGATGCAAACTTAACTATCAATTTTCCAACTCAAGACAATTTGAGACCCAGATATGACCCAGTTATTTTTGGTAGATCTAGTTTTTCTCGATTTTTCATATGCGTTTTGTGACTAAGCGGCTTTCTTCTTAATTTATGCCTTCTAGTTTATCATGGTATGTTGTGTGGTATTGCAGGTGGTAGGACTCTCTGCTTCGCTTCTAAGAATGAAACAAACTTTTCAAGTACCTAGTAGTTGTAGACATCAAGATCTGATTCAATTAGCGTATTGATTGTCTGCGACAAACTTACCGACAGATTATGTCAGCTAGGTTTAATGGAATATTTTATTAAACCAGAAATGTTTTTTTTTGGGAACTTTTCACCGAGAATTTATCAAAAATTTGCAAAAACTAACATATCAGATAGTATTTTGATTTTTATATAAATCATCGTAAGCAAATTTGAACAAAATTTTTTCGATGCAAAGGCAATTTCTTCGAGCAATTTTTAAACAACAATTTGATCAATTTATTGAAAAACTCCCAGACCAACTTTTCAGCAGTTGTTTATCAAATTATTGAACATTCAATTTTGAGTTATGCGGAAGTTTAATCAATAATCTATTTTAAATAAATCGCGCTCGCAGCCTAAAAGTGTTAAGCTTGAAACCGGTGAAATCAAACCAATCGGTAAAGATGTTTAAGTGCATAAACTCTAAAAAAAAGTGGTGATAACTTTTTCCTGGTAGTTTTGAAAAAAGAAAAAGTGCTATTTAAACACAAAAAAAAAACGAATTAGTTTTTTTGCTTCTCAACTTAGTTCATAGAAGTGTTCTTTAATGAGGCACCTCCTTGAGGGGTCTTATGACTGGTGAGTTTGATCTTTGTGAGTATGTGTAAGACTACTGTTGTTCCGACCATTGAAAACGGGAAGGAATTTTGTAACCGGTTGTTTTAGTTTTTTTGTCCTTTCGATTTTCACACAAAATTAGGTACCACAACAAATGATTCCTCCGGGTTGAGTGATATATCATAATAAAGCCCTTTCCGTCGTAACTCCGGTTGGGAACTTTGATTTTTTGTCTAATGTCGAGCGACGAAAGCCAGCGAGCAGGCTTATTTCTTTTTGTTTTCCGCGCAAATCAGATGCAGGTACTGCAAAAAATATCGCATTAGTTCGATTGATATAATTTATAAAAGCCCTTCCGGTCGTGATTCGAACGACATTAACAAAGTTAAAAAAATTTTGAGCTAACAAGGTGCGCGTGCAGGATTAAAATAGCTTATTTATGCTTAATTGAAGCCGTGAAAACGTAGTGCTACTTAATTGAAGTTAATTTTTGGTGTTTTTAGTGCCGTTTTGTAATCAAACACGTCAAAGATTCAAATTTTTTTTACAATTTTTTTTCGTTTTTCTTGTTATATTTCTACAAAAATTTTTTCGTTCAGGTCTTTTTATCATACCACGCAGAAAAACGATAAAAACTTTGTCTTTTTTAAGAATGTGATTGGAATATTCTGTGCTATTTGCACAGTAACCGGCTATCCTTGTTATTTTAAAAACTCAGCTAAAACCTTAAATCAAATTCAATCAAAAATTACTTGATAACGATGTGGCAGACGTGATGTGATGTGCAACTTCCAATTCATTATTCCAAACAGAGTTAATCTTTTTAGATCTTTTATAAATTTATGCCTCAATAAATGTTTCCTTAAATTTTTTTCCTTAAATTTTGTTCCTCAAATTTACCTAAGGAATTGTATGCTTTGATATTTAGATGAAAAATATCCTGTCAGAATTAAAAAACATGCGAGTTTTTGATAGGATTTAAATAGGTATTTGCATTATTGGTAGCTATCACAGTCTTTGTTAAGCTTATGAATGAGTTTGTTTAGTTTAGCCAAATAGAACATTGAAAAAGCCTTTCTTCGAAAACTACAAAGAGCAAATAATTGTTTCTGCAGCCTTCAATAAATTGATTTTTTTTTCAATAAATTTTTTTTTTCATTCTTTGAAGATTTTACAATACAATGTAGAACTAGAGAAATGTGCTAACAGTAGCTGTTAATTTACGATATAAGATATACATAAAATAATTTTAAAATTTTTTTCTTTAGTTAACCAAATTCTTTCTGCAATTTTAGTCGTACGATTTTTAGTTTTTGAGTGTTGTGTACATATGAACATGAAAATATTGATGGATTATCGCCTCGTTTTCTAATTTCGCCTAACTTCGCTGCGGTTTTTCAAAAATTAACTCTTTTGTTTTTTCTACACAAATTTTTCTTTCCGGTTCTTTTCCATTAAAATTTTGGAATTAGTCATCTTTATGGACTTCAATAAAATTGTTTTCATTTTGATTAGAGGTCTTTACAATTTGACATTACTGAATCTTTTAAAACGCTAGACAATTTTTGAGTCTTATGTTTTTAGTAGAACATAAAGATTATAAAAATACTATACAAATAGAGAAAACAAGTAGGGTAGCACAGAGTTTTCCGACCCCACTTAAAAAAATAGAATACAAAATTCTTTGTTTTCAATCAAAGTCCGTCTTTTATTTGTGATGAGAAAACTATAAAAACGCGCAGCACCTAGGTGGATTAGACGTCTTATTAGCTAGTTTTATTCAATAGTGAAGGAAAAACAAAAAATTGGAAGAACATTTCAGAGAAAAATTATATATTTTGTGAGTAATTTTTGATGTAATTTTAAAGTATTTTTTTGAGTATTTTTCAATGTAAGAACAAAACAGTTTTTGCCAGGTAAGCGCTAAATGAATCATCCAAACTAGTTGCACTGGATTAGATTAAATGTTCCACTACTTATATGAAAAATTGTCTTTTTGAAAGCCTATTCGCCGGAAAGTAGACTAAAACTTAAAAACTTATAGCCGCTTTTTTAGACACTGTGATAAATTTTTGCTAACTGTTCAAAGCCATTTGAATCACGACGGAAAAGGATTAATATGATATATCACTCGACCCATTCCGAGTAATTTGTTACTTTTTCAACTTGTTTTTCTGCCCTGTGTGATGAGAAGATTTGAATGAAAACCGTATAAAATAGCAAATAATTGCAAGTGAGATGCATCTAGGTTTGTTTTTGCTGCTTGGCAATTCAGTTGCGTTAGATGTGAGGAAAGCAACACGGGCATATTAATCGTCAAACTTAATTTGTTTTAAAATTTTACATCATCCCTCTAAAATCAAAAAAATTCGAAGCTTGCTAGAGCGAAACTGATTTAGTTTTTAAGCTTGAAATTGGTTCCACTGAATTCGAAATCAACTGTGACAGTGCACCATTATTAAGAGTTCAAACCAAAGACAAAGAACAGGCATCAATGTTAAGATTATGAAGATTATCATAATTTTGATTGTAATGTATAAAAATCAATTATGTTTGAATTGGCGTTATTCAGCATGCTAGTTTTTGCAATTTTTCTCGCTAGAATTCTTAGCAAAAAGCAAGGTCGTAACTAATGAATTTTTTTGGTGAACGAAAAACAGTGTGTGAAAAATCAAAAAATTGAAAGATCAAAACAAAGTTCAGAATTTTTAAGGCGCTGTTTTAAAATCGATTTAACAGTGATTTCATTTTGCGTAATTTATGAATTGAATTCTGCTTTTACTTACCGAAATTTATGACATTTCGATATTCTGTGTTGACTTTCTGACAATTACGGTTAATTAATGTATGAAATGAAATGTTGTCAATCAGCCAGCTAACCAAAACCGATCTACCTCAGAACCGAAACGAGGCAGCAATATGGTCCGCCGACCCAAACAGGAGCAGTTCCTGGATACGAGAGCTGTCTCTGCTGACTTTGGAGCTCTCACCTCTTCTCGTCTGGTTGTGGGGGGGGGGCGAGGATTTTTTTGTTAGAATTCATAGCGAGAAGAGAAAAACCAAGGTCGTAACTAATGAATTCTGATTTTAAATACCGAAATTTATGACAGTTCGATATTCTGTGTTGACTTGTAATTTCCGATAATTACCGTTGATTTACATATGAAATGAAATGTTGTCAATCAGCCAGCTAACCGAAACCGATCTACCTCAGAACCGAAACGAGGCAGAAATAGTAACAATGGAAGCAAAGTTAGGCACCGGACTACAAATGGCTACAATGCTAGTTTGCAGAGATCTTACAATAACTTAAAAAATAAGATTTTTTTATTCATAACGTGACTTGGAGTCTCGTGTGATATAATTGTTTTAAAAAGGTTGTCAAACGATGGGTTGAAGTAGGTTGTAGACTGAAAATTTTTGGATAGATTTTCTCTGATGGCTATTTATTCATTAGATGGTTGTCTTTCTCAGCCAGCTATTTTTTTTCATCTCAACTGACATTTCATATTTTAAAAAAGATCTCAGTTTTTTCACAATTAGTCTGGTTGCATTCAAAAAATGGTATCCTCTTCCCATTCCAAAGCCAAAAAAGTAAGTTCCAAACCTGGTGGTGGTTCCGTTGTAGTTCCTGGGATTGTAGTCGACTAAAACATCATGACATGATAAATTTCGATAATTTTTTACCATTGATGTTTTAGAAAACTTTCGTTGACAGCTTTTCTCAGGACAGCAGTTTTGATTTGCTGAAATCTGCCGAAGCATAAGCATTATAATGACAACTTTTTCTTGCGAAAAAAGAGCTTTTCTTTTTAGTCAGTTAAGATTATGAATTTGTTTTTTTTTCTGTGCGCGCTATCACCTCAAAATTCGTATATGTTAGCTTCGACGTATATATAAGCATTTTAGCACCTTCTTCGGGGATTTCTTGACCCTTTGACCACCCAAAGTGTCCCCCTGTGATAAAACTTTATGTCATCCATTGTTGGCTGTTATACTAATTTGACGTGGGTGGGCGAGCTGAAAAGACGCAGTTTCCGGTAAAAAACTTCTAAACAGTAACTAAAATTGGGTAATTGGAGCAGAAATTTGTGTCAATTTAAAAATCTTCATAGTGTTTTGGGAGAGCTAAGAAAATTGATTTGGTCGACTAAACGAGGTCGACAAAACTTTCGGAATTTTCAGTCAAACAGTGATTATGACAATTCCAGGTTTCGCTAAGAGCCGGAAAGTCTCCTTTGCCAGCCTTAGCAATGACCCATTCTAAGGAGCAGTTTAAAGGGCAGCAAGTTTTTAGAGGGAGCAATTTTTGTTGAAAGATCAACCGAGCAGACCTAAAGGGTTTACTATTAGTTTCTGCATCATTTATGGCAAATTTTTAGATTTTTCATCTAATATAATAGTTTTGTTTGATACCTTACACTATTTGCGAAATTTCAGTTAGCAGAACTGTATATTTGGACAATTTTCTTGAATTTCGAAACGATATACAGCATAAGTTATCAACTCCGGGCTGAATTGACGCTCGTTCTTTTGTTTTCCGATTGAAAGCACGCATCGAATCAAACTTTGGGCCCACTTCGGCTTAATATCTGGCATGATTAATTGAACGAAATAGACGAAAAAGTTGTCTTTTTTAGGACGGATAAAACCCGGAATACCTTCGACCAAGGACTATTAGCAATTGGGAAGCAGGTTCAAATCAATCACTCCTCATTCAACGAACAATAGGGTAAAAATATTACCTGTTCAGCAGTTGTAGAAATTGTACATTCATCTACAATAAAAACAAGGTTGCTCGTTTCAGAAGCTCAGTGATTAATAAAAACAGCCAAGAAGTTAAAATAACGGGGCTAATGAAAACTTTCGTAGAGCATTTTCAGTGCATAATGCGACAACTCGCAACAAAAGACAACTCGCAATAAAATTACAACGCGCATTAAAATACAACTCGTAAAATACTCACCGCCGCTGTCGCGCCAACGTGTTACCAGCTTAGCCGACAGAGAGTAGGACTTTATATGAAGTTTAGAGCCGGTTATCGCTTTCCTTAAATTGTGCGAGTTGTCTTTTGTTACGAGTTGTCTTTTGTTGCGAGTTGTCGCGGTACCGATTTTTATGCAATTTATATCGACATAAATATGATATAAAATTAGAAGCTAATGTCAATTTTTGTTATATCGAACTAATAAAAATGTTTTTTCTTAAAGTAGAAAATTATTTGGTCGAAAAATGTCTTAAGACCGAACAAATTAGTTTGTTGAGCTCATTCAAAACAATAAACCGACAATTTTTTTAACGCTGTATGCAAAAATTTGAAGAAAAAAACATCTATGTTGATCAAAATATTGCACCAATTGGGAGGCAAAGGGATCAAATTCTTGATGGAGACGAGAGTGGGGGCTTCGTCCGGCCCCGTCTCAGAACCCTAATTCCGCCTAGAGTGACATAGTTTAATGGGTTGCAATTCGATACAAAAATAGCAATTAAATTAGTTTAATGTTTCGCATCAAAGTCAGGGATCAACTTACGGTCCGAGAAATCATCGCAACTGTCAGAGCAATGCAGAGGGTCGCTGGTGTTCAATAGAGCACCGGTATCCACAAAGACACTTGCCGACGATGGTCCTGCAACTGTAGCCACGTCAGAGATGACGTACAGGTAGATTCTCTGGATCTCGACGTCGTCCTCTGGCGTCGGCAGAGACCAGGTGAAGGCGACCGAAGTACCTTCGTCGAATTCAGCTTCGGCAGCTTGAACCGGAGGTGGCAGGGGGTCAGTGCTAGTCGTGAACTCTACTCCAGATGCAGCTGCTAGTTTCTATAACATTAATATTAAAATCCAAAATTATCATGCAACCAAAATTTTAAAAAAAAATGAATGCTAGCATAATAATTAAGATTGCAAATTTTAAAAAAGTTGTAATAACATTTCGCGACAAAATCATTGAAAAAAAATTTAGCAGGTTTAACAGCCAAACATTGTTGAACACCAACCTTGCGATTGGATGTGAACTTCGTGTAGCCGGATCCAAAATCTGAGAAGGTGACCAGGTACAAACTGCCATCAAGAGTTTTAACAACGATATTAAAGTTGAAGCTGGATGCAGGCAAAGCATCAAACTGTAGTTTAATTTGATTCACTGACTCATGACACTGCTCAAGCTGCAGACTGATAGTCGAAGCATCCACCAAATTATCCATTGCTGCACCGACAGAACAAATAGCACACGTTTCAGTTGCAGTGGAGGTCGTTCTGACATAAGAGGTGGAACGCATAGTAGTTGTTGTAGATCCCCATGTTGTAGAAGAGGTAGTTCCGCTTGTTGTGGGAGAAGGTGTAGTTCCGCTTGTTGGGGGAGAAGTAGTAGTTCCGCTTGTTGGGGGAGAAGTAGTAGTTCCGCTTGTTGGGGGAGAAGTAGTAGTTCCGCCTGTTGGGGGAGAAGGTGAAGTTTCGCTTGTTGGAGGAGAAGGTGTAGTTCCGCTAGTTGGGGGAGAAGGTGTAGTTCCGCTAGTTGGAGGAGAAGGTGTAGTTCCGCTAGTTGGGGGAGAAGGTGTAGTTCCGCTTGTTGGGGGAGAAGTAGTAGTTCCGCTAGTTGGGGGAGAAGGTGTAGTTCCGCTTGTTGTGGGAGAAGGTGTAGTTCCGCTAGTTGGGGGAGAAGGTGTAGTTCCGCTTGTTGTGGGAGAAGGTGTAGTTCCGCTTTTTGGGGGAGAAGGTGTAATTTTGCTTGTTGGAGGAGAAGGTGTAGTTCCGCTTGTTGGGGGAGAAGTAGTAGTTCCGCTTGTTGGGGGAGAAGTAGTAGTTCCGCTAGTTGGGGGAGAAGGTGTAGTTCCGCTTGTTGTGGGAGAAGGTGTAGTTCCGCTAGTTGGGGGAGAAGTAGTAGTTCCGCTTGTTGGGGGAGAAGGTGTAGTTTCGCTTGTTGGAGGAGAAGTTGTAGTTCCGCTTGTTGTGGGAGAAGGTGTAGTTCCGCTTTTTGGGGCAGAAGGTGTAGTTTCGCTTGTTGGAGGAGAAGGTGTAGTTCCGCTTGTTGGGGGAGAAGTAGTAGTTCCGCTTGTTGGGGGAGAAGTAGTAGTTCCGCTTGTTGTGGGAGAAGGTGTAGTTCCGCTTTTTGGGGGAGAAAGTGTAGTTTCGCTTGTTGGAGGAGAAGGTGTAGTTCCGCTTGTTGTGGGAGAAGGTGTAGTTCCGCTTTTTGGGGGAGAAGGTGTAGTTTCGCTTGTTGGAGGAGAAGGTGTAGTTCCGCTTGTTGGGGGAGAAGTAGTAGTTCCGCTTGTTGGGGGAGAAGTAGTAGTTCCGCTTGTTGTGGGAGAAGGTGTAGTTCCGCTTTTTGGGGGAGAAGGTGTAGTTTCGCTTGTTGGAGGAGAAGGTGTAGTTCCGCTTGTTGGGGGAGAGATAGTAGTTCCGCTAGTTGGGGGAGAAGGTGTAGTTCCGCTTGTTGTGGGAGGAGGTGTAGTTCCGCTTGTTGTTGGAGAAGGTGTAGTTCCGCTTTTTGGGGGAGAAGGTGAAGTTTCGCTTGTTGGAGGAGAAGGTGTAGTTCCGCTTGTTGGGGGAGAAGGTGTAGTTCCGCTTGCTGGGGGAGAAGGTGTAGTTCCGCTTGTTGTGGGAGAAGGTGTAGTTCTGCTTGCTGTGGGAGAAGATGTAGTTTCGCTTGTTGGAGCAGAAGGTGTAGTTCCGCTTGTTGGGGGAGAAGTAGTAGTTCCGCTAGTTGGGGGAGAAGGTGTAGTTCCGCTAGTTGGGGGAGATGGTGTAGTTCCGCTTGTTATGGGAGAAGGCGTAGTTCCGCTTGTTGTGGGAGAAGGTGTAGTTCCGCTTTTTGGGGGAGTAGAGGAAGTTTCGGTTGTTGGAGGAGAAGGTGTAGTTCCGCTTGCTGGGGGAGAAGGTGTAGTTCCGCTTGTTGTGGGAGAAGGTGTAGTTCTGCTTGCTGTGGGAGAAGATGTAGTTTCGCTTGTTGGAGCAGAAGGTGTAGTTCCGCTTGTTGGGGGAGAAGTAGTAGTTCCGCTTGTTGTGGGAGAAGGTGTAGTTCCGCTAGTTGGGGGAGATGGTGTAGTTCCGCTTGTTATGGGAGAAGGCGTAGTTCCGCTTGTTGTGGGAGAAGGTGTAGTTCCGCTTTTTGGGGGAGTAGAGGAAGTTTCGGTTGTTGGAGGAGAAGGTGTAGTTCCGCTTGTTGGGGGAGAAGGTGTAGTTCCGCTTGCTGGGGGAGAAGGTGTAGTTCCGCTTGCTGGGGGAGAAGGTGTAGTTCCGCTTGTTGTGGGAGAAGGTGTAGTTCCGCTTGCTGTGGCAGAAGGTGTAGTTCCGCTTGCTGTGAGAGAAGGTGTAGTTTCGCTTGTTGGAGCAGAAGGTGTAGTTCCGCTTGTTGGGGGAGAAGTAGTAGTTCCGCTAGTTGGGGGAGAAGGTGTAGTTCCGCTTGTTGTGGGAGAAGGTGTAGTTCCGCTAGTTGGGGGAGATGGTGTAGTTCCGCTTGTTATGGGAGAAGGCGTAGTTCCGCTTGTTGTGGGAGAAGGTGTAGTCCCGCTTTTTGGGGGAGAAGGTGAAGTTTCGGTTGTTGGAGGAGAAGGTGTAGTTCCGCTTGTTGGGGGAGAAGGTGTAGTTCCGCTTGCTGGGGGAGAAGGTGTAGTTCCGCTTGTTGGAGGAGAAGGTGTAGTTCCGCTTGTTGGTGGAGAAGGTGTAGTTCCGCTTGTTGGGGGAGAAGGTGTGGTTCCGCTTGTTGGAGGAGAAGGTGTAGTTCCGCTTGTTGTGGGAGAAGGTGTAGTTCCGCTAGTTGGGGGAGAAGGTGTAGTTCCGCTTGTTGGAGGAGAAGGTGTAGTTCCGCTTGTTGGGGGAGAAGATGTAATTCCGCTTTTTGGGGGAGAAGGTGTAGTTTCGCTTGTCGGAGGAGAAGGTGTAGTTCCGCTTGTTGGGGGAGAAGTAGTAGTTCCGCTAGTTGGGGGAGAAGGTGCAGTTCCGCTTGTTGTGGGAGAAGGTGTAGTTCCGCTTGTTGTGGGAGAAGTTGTAGTTCCGCTTTTTGGAGGAGAAGGTGTAGTTTCGCTTGTTGGAGGAGAAGGTGTAGTTCCGCTTGTTGGGGGAGAAGGTGTAGTTTCGCTTGTTGGAGGAGAAGGTGTAGTTCCGCTTGCTGGGGGAGAAGTTGTAGTTCCGCTTTTTGGAGGAGAAGGTGTAGTTTCGCTTGTTGGAGAAGAAGGTGTAGTTCCGCTTGTTGGGGGAGAAGGTGTAGTTTCGCTTGTTGGAGGAGAAGGTGCAGTTCCGCTTGCTGGGGGAGAAGTTGTAGTTCCGCTTTTTGGAGGAGAAGGCGTAGTTCCGCTTGTTGTGGGAGAAGGTGTAGTTCCGCTTTTTGGGGGAGAAGGTGAAGTTTCGGTTGTTGGAGGAGAAGGTGTAGTTCCGCTTGTTGAGGGAGAAGGTGTAGTTCCGCTTGCTGGGGGAGAAGGTGTAGTTCCGCTTGTTGGAGGAGAAGGTGTAGTTGCGCTTGTTGGTGGAGAAGGTGTAGTTCCGCTTGTTGGGGGAGAAGGTGTGGTTCCGCTTGTTGGAGGAGAAGGTGTAGTTTCGCTTGTTGGAGGAGAAGGTGTAGTTCCGCTTGTTGGGGGAGAAGGTGTAGTTTCGCTTGTTGTGCGAGAAGGTGTAGTTCCGCTTGTTGTGGGAGAAGTTGTAGTTCCGCTTTTTGGAGGAGAAGGTGTAGTTTCGCTTGTTGGAGGAGAAGGTGTAGTTCCGCTTGTTGGGGGAGAAGGTGTAGTTTCGCTTGTTGGAGGAGAAGGTGCAGTTCCGCTTGTTGTGGGAGAAGGTGTAGTTCCGCTTGTTGTGGGAGAAGTTGTAGTTCCGCTTTTTGGAGGAGAAGGTGTAGTTTCGCTTGTTGGAGGAGAAGGTGTAGTTCCGCTTGTTGGGGGAGAAGGTGTAGTTTCGCTTGTTGGAGGAGAAGGTGTAGTTCCGCTTGTTGTGGGAGAAGGTGTAGTTCCGCTTGTTGTGGGAGAAGGTGTAGTTCCGCTTTTTGGGGGAGAAGGTGAAGTTTCGCTTGTTGGAGGAGAAGGTGTAGTTCCGCTTGTTGGGGGAGAAGGTGTAGTTCCGCTTGCTGGGGGAGAAGGTGTAGTTCCGCTTGTTGGAGGAGAAGGTGTAGTTCCGCTTTTTGGGGGAGAAGGTGTAGTTCCGCTTGTTGTGGGAGAAGGTGTAGTTCCGCTAGTTGGGGTAGAAGGTGTAGTTCCGCTTGTTGTGGGAGAAGGTGTAGTTCCGCTTGTTGTGGGAGAAGGTGTAGTTCCGCTTTTTGGGGGAGAAGGTGAAGTTTCGCTTGTTGGAGGAGAAGCTGTAGTTCCGCTTGTTGGGGGAGAAGGTGTAGTTCCGCTTTTTGGGGGAGAAGGTGAAGTTTCGCTTGTTGGAGGAGAAGCTGTAGTTCCGCTTGTTGGGGGAGAAGGTGTAGTTCCGCTTGCTGGGGGAGAAGGTGTAGTTCCGCTTGTTGGAGGAGAAGGTGTAGTTCCGCTTGTTGGGGGAGAAGGTGTAGTTCCGCTTGTTGGAGGAGAAGAGGTAGTTCCGCTTGTTAGGAGAGAAGGTGTAGTTCCGCTTGTTGGAGAAGGTGTGGTTCCGCTTGTTGGAGGAGAAGGTGTAGTTCCGCTTGTTGGGGGAGAAGGTGTGGTTCCGCTTGTTGGAGGAGAAGGTGTAGTTCCGCTTGTTGTGGGAGAAGGTGTAGTTCCGCTAGTTGGGGGAGAAGGTGTAGTTCCGCTTGTTGGAGGAGAAGGTGTAGTTCCGCTTGTTGGGGGAGAAGGTGTAGTTCCGCTTGTTGGGGGAGAAGGTGTGGTTCCGCTTGTTGGAGGCGAAAGTGTAGTTCCGCTTGTTGTGGGAGAAGGTGTAGTTCCGCTAGTTGGGGGAGAAGGTGTAGTTCCGCTTGTTGTGGGAGAAGGTGTAGTTCCGCTTGTTGTGGGAGAAGGTGTAGTTCCGCTTTTTGGGGGAGAAGGTGTCGTTTCGCTTGTTGGAGGAGATGGTGTAGTTCCGCTTGTTGTGGGAGAAGGTGTAGTTCCGCTAGTTGGGGGAGAAGGTGTAGTTCCGCTTGTTGTGGGAGAAGGTGTAGTTCCGCTTGTTGTGGGAGAAGGTGTAGTTCCGCTTTTTGGGGGAGAAGGTGAAGTTTCGCTTGTTGGAGGAGAAGCTGTAGTTCCGCTTGTTGGGGGAGAAGGTGTAGTTCCGCTTTTTGGGGGAGAAGGTGAAGTTTCGCTTGTTGGAGGAGAAGCTGTAGTTCCGCTTGTTGGGGGAGAAGGTGTAGTTCCGCTTGCTGGGGGAGAAGGTGTAGTTCCGCTTGTTGGAGGAGAAGGTGTAGTTCCGCTTGTTGGGGGAGAAGGTGTAGTTCCGCTTGTTGGAGGAGAAGAGGTAGTTCCGCTTGTTAGGGGAGAAGGTGTAGTTCCGCTTGTTGGAGAAGGTGTGGTTCCGCTTGTTGGAGGAGAAGGTGTAGTTCCGCTTGTTGGGGGAGAAGGTGTGGTTCCGCTTGTTGGAGGAGAAGGTGTAGTTCCGCTTGTTGTGGGAGAAGGTGTAGTTCCGCTAGTTGGGGGAGAAGGTGTAGTTCCGCTTGTTGGAGGAGAAGGTGTAGTTCCGCTTGTTGGGGGAGAAGGTGTAGTTCCGCTTGTTGGGGGAGAAGGTGTGGTTCCGCTTGTTGGAGGCGAAAGTGTAGTTCCGCTTGTTGTGGGAGAAGGTGTAGTTCCGCTAGTTGGGGGAGAAGGTGTAGTTCCGCTTGTTGTGGGAGAAGGTGTAGTTCCGCTTGTTGTGGGAGAAGGTGTAGTTCCGCTTTTTGGGGGAGAAGGTGTCGTTTCGCTTGTTGGAGGAGATGGTGTAGTTCCGCTTGTTGGGGGAGAAGTAGTAGTTCCGCTAGTTGAAGGGGAAGGTGTAGTTCCGCTTGTTGTGGGAGAAGGTGTAGTTCCGCTTGTTGTGGGAGAAGGTGTAGTTCCGCTTTTTGGGGGAGTAGGTGTAGTTTCGCTTGTTGGAGGAGAAGGTGTAGTTCCGCTTGTTGGGGGAGAAGGTGTAGTTCCGCTTGTTGCGGGAGAAGATGTAGTTCCGCTTGTTGTGGGAGAAGGTGTAGTTTCGCTTGTTGGAGGAGAAGGTGTAGTTCCGCTTGCTGGGGGAGAAGGTGTAGTTCCGCTTGTTGAAGGAGAAGGTGTAGTTCCGGTTGTTGGGGGAGAAGGCGTAGTTCCGCTTTTTGGGGGAGAAGGTGTAGTTCTGCTTGTTGTGGGAGAAGGTGTAGTTCCACTTTTTGTGGGAGAAGGTGTAGTTTCGCTTGTTGGAGGAGAAGGTGTAGTTCCACTTTTTGGGGGAGAAGGTGTCGTTTTGCTTGTTGGAGGAGATGGTGTAGTTCCGCTTGTTGGGGGAGAAGTAGTAGTTCCGCTAGTTGGAGGAGAAGGTGTAGTTCCGCTTGTTGTGGGAGAAAGTGTAGTTCCGCTTGTTGTGGGAGAAGGTGTAGTTCCGCTTTTTGGGAGAGAAGGAGTAGTTTCGCTTGTTGGAGGAAAAGGTGTAGTTCCACTTGTAGTGGGAGAAGGTGTAGTTCCGCTTGTTGTGAGAGAAGGTGTAGTTCCGCTAGCTGGGGTAGAAGGTGTAGTTCCGCTTGTTGGAGGAGAAGGTGTAGTTCCGCTTGTTTTGGGAGTAGGTGTAGTTCCCCTGGCTGTTGGAGATGGTGTTGTTCCGCTTGAGGTGGGAGAAGGTGTAGTTACACGTGTTGTGGGAGAATGTGTAGTTCCGCTTGTAGGAGAAGAAGGTGTTGTTCTGCTTGTTGGACCATAAGGTGTAGTTCCGCTTGTTGGGGGAGAAGGTGTAGTTTCGCTTGTTGGGGCGGAAGGTGTAGTTCCGCTTTCTGGGGGAGAAGGAGTAGTTCCGCTGGTTAGAGGCGAAGGTGAAGTTCCGCTTGTTGTGGTAGAAGGTGTAGTTCTGCTGGTTGGAGGAGATGGTGTGATTCCGCTTGTTGGAGGAGAAGGTGTAGTTCCGATAGTTGAGGCAGATGGTTTAGTTCCGCTTGTTGCAGGAGAAGGTGTAGTTCCGCTTGTTGGCGGTGAAGGTGTATTTCCGCTTGTTGGAGGAAAAGGTGTAGTTCCGCTTGTTGTGGGAGTAGGTGTAGTTCCGCTTGCTAGGGGAGAAGGCGTAGTTCCGCTTGCTGTGGGAGAAGGTGTAGTTCCGCTTGTTGTGGGAGAAGGTGTAGTTCCGCTTGTTGGAGAAGAAAGTGTTGTTCTGCTTGTTGGAGCAGAAGGTGGAGTTGCGCTTGTTGGGGGAGAAGGTGTAGTCTCGCTTGTTGGGACGGAAGGTGTAGTTCCGCTTGCTGGGGGAGAAGGAGTAGTTCCGCTGGTTAGAGGAGAAGGTGAAGTTCCGCTTGTTGAGGGAGAAGGTGTAGTTCCGCTGGTTGGAGGAGAAGGTGTAGTTCCGCTAGTTGGGGCAGAAGGTGTAGTTCCGCTTGTTGGAGGAGAAGGTGTAGTTCCGCTTGTTGTTGGAGAAGGTATAGTTACGCTTGTTGGGGGAGAAAGTGTAGTTTCGCTTGCTTGGGCAGAAGGTGTAGTTACGCTTGTTGGAAGAGAAGGTGTAGTTTCGCTTGTTGGGGGAGAAGGTGTAGTTTCGCTTGCTTGGGCAGAAGGTGTAGTTACGCTTGTTTGAAGAGAAGGTGTAGTTTTGCTTGTTGGAGGAGAAGGTGTAGTTCTGCTTGTTGGACGAGAAGGTGTAGTTCCGCTTGTTGGGGGAGAAGGTGTAGTTCCGCTTGTTGTGGGAGAAAGTGTAGTTTCGCTAGCTGGGGCAGAAGGTGTAGTTACGCTTGTTGGAAGAGAAGGTGTAGTTTCGCTTGTTGGAGGAGAAGGTGTAAGTCCGCTTGTTGTGGGAGAAGGACTAGTTCTGCTTGTTGGAGGAGAAGGAGTAGTTTCGCTTGTTGTGGGAGAAGGTGTAGTTACGCTTGTTGGAAGAGAAGGTGTAGTTTCGCTTGTTGGCGGAGAAGGTGTAGTTCCGCTTTTTGGTAGAGAAGGAGTAGTTCTGCTTGTCGGAGGAGAAGGAGTAGTTTCGCTTGTTGTGGGATAAGGTGTAGTTCCGCTTGTTGTGGGAGAAGGTGTAGTTCCGCTTGCTGTCTGAGAAGGTTTAGATCCACTTGCTGTGGGAGAAGGAGTATTTCTGCTTGTTGGAGGAGAAGGAGTAGTTTCGCTTGTTGTGGGAGAAGGTGTAGTGACGCTTGTTGGAAGAGAAGGCGTTGTTTCGCTTTTTGGAGGAGAAGGTGTAGTTCCGCTTTTTGGGGGAAGAGGTGTAGTTCTGCTGGTTGGAGGAGAAGGTTTAGTTCCGCTAGTTGTGGCAGAAGGTGTGGTTCCGCTTGTTGGGGGAGAAGGTGTAGTTCCGCTTGCTGGGGGAGAACGTGTAGTTACGCTTGTTGGAAGAGAAGGTGTAGTTTCGCTTGTTGGAGGAGAAGGTGTAGTTCCGCTTGTTGGGAGAGGAGTTGTTCCGCTTGCTGTGGGAGAAGGAGTAGTTCTGCTTGTTGGAGGAGAAGGAGTAGTTTCGCTTGTTGTGGGATAAGGTGTAGTTACGCTTGTTGGAAGAGAAGGTGTAGTTCTGCTAGTTGGGGCAGAAGGAGTAGTTCCGCTGGTTAAAGGAGAAGGTGAAGTTCCGCTTGTTGTGGGAGAAGGTGTAGTTCCGCTGGTTGGAGGAGAAGGTGTAGTTCTGCTAGTTGGGGCAGAAGGTGTGGTACCGCTTGTTGTGTGAGAAGGTTTAGTTCCACTTGCTGTCGGAGAAGGAGTAGTTCCGCTTGTTGGGGGAGAAGGTTTAGTTTCGCTTGCTGGGGGAGAAGGTGTAGTTACGCTTGTTGGAAGAGAAGGTGTAGTTTCGCTTGTTGGAGGAGAAGGTGTAGTTCCGCTTGTTGGGAGAGAAGGAGTAGTTGCGCTTGTTGTGGGAAAAGGTGTAGTTCCGCTTCCTGGGGGAGAAGGTGTAGTTACGCTTGTTGGAAGAGAAGGTGTAGTTTCGCTTGTTGGAGGAGAAGGTGTGGTTCCGCTTGTTGGGAGAGAAGGAGTAGTTCCGCTGGTTAGAGGAGAAGGTGAAGTTCCGCTTGTTGTGGGTGAAAGTGTAGTTCTGCTGGTTGGAGGAGAAGGTGTGATTCCGCTTGTTGGAGGAGAAGGTGTAGTTCCGCTAGTTGGGGCAGTTGGTGTAGTTCCGCTTGTTGGAGGAGAAGGTGTATTTCCGCTTGTTGTGGGAGAAGGTGTAGTTCCGCTTGTTGGAGAAGAAGGTGTTGTTCTGCTTGTTGGAGCAGAAGTTGTAATTCCGCTTGTTGGGGGAGAAGGTGTAGTTTCGCTTGTTGGGACGGAAGGTGTAGTTACGCTTGTTGGAAGAGAAGGTGTAGTTTCGCTTGTTGGAGGAGAAGGTGTAATTCCGCTAGTTGTGGGAGAAGGAGTAGTTCTGCTTGTTGGAAGAGAAGGAGTAGTTCCGCTTGTTGTGGGAGAAGGTGTAGTTACGCTTGTTGGAAGAGAAGGTGTAGTTTCGCTTGTTGGCGGAGAAGGTGTAGTTCCGCTTTTTGGTAGAGAAGGAGTAGTTTCGCTTGTTGGAGGAGAAGGAGTAGTTCCGCTTGTTGTGGGATAAGGGGTAGTTCCGCTTGTTGTGGGAGAAGGTGTAGTTCCGCTTGCTGTCTGAGAAGGTTTAGTTCCACTTGCTGTGGGAGAAGGTGTAGTTCGGCTTGTTGGGGGAGAAGGTGTAGTTTCGCTTGCTGGCGGAAAAGGTGTAGTTACGCTTGTTGGAAGAGAAGGTGTAGTTTCACTTGTTGGAGGAGAAGGTGTAGTTCCGCTTGTTGGGAGAGAAGGAGTAGTTCCGCTTGTTGTGGGAGAAGGAGTAGTTCGACTTGTTGGAGGAGAAGGAGTAGTTTCACTTGTTGTGGGAGAAGGTGTAGTTACGCTTGCTGAACGAGAAGGTGTTGTTTCGCTTTTTGGAGGAGAAGGTGTAGTTCCGCTTTTTGGGGGAGAAGGAGTAGTTCCGCTGATTAGGGGAGAAGGTGAAGTTCCGCTAGTTGGGGCAGAAGGTGTGGTTCCGCTTGTTGGAGGAGAAGGTGTAGTTCCGCTTGCTGGGGGAAAAGGTGTAGTTACGCTTGTTAGAAGAGTAGGTGTAGTTTTGCTTGTTGGAGGAGAAGGTGTAGTTCCGCTTCTTGGGAGAGAAGGAGTAGTTCCGCTTGCTGTGGGAGAAGGAGTAGTTCTGCTTGTTGGAGGAGATGGAGTAGTTTCGCTTGTTGTGGGAGAAGGTGTAGTTACGCTTGTTGGAAGAGAAGGTGTTGTTTCGCTTTTTGGAGGAGAAGGTGTAGTTCCGCTTTTTGGGGGAGAAGGAGTAGTTCCGCTGGTTAAAGGAGAAGGTGAAGTTCCGCTTGTTGTGGGAGAAGGTGTAGTTCCGCTGGTTGGAGGAGAAGGTGTAGTTCCGCTAGTTGGGGCAGAAGGTGTGGTTCCGCTTGTTGGAGGAGAAGGTGTAGTTCCGCTTGCTGGGGGAGAAGGAGTAGTTTTGCTTATTGGAGGAGAAGGAGTAGTTTCGCTTGTTGTGGGAGAAGGTGTAATTACGCTTGTTGGAAGAGAAAGTGTAGCTTCGCTTGTTGGCGGAGAAGGTGTAGTTCCGCTTTTTGGAGGAGAAGGAGTAGTTCCGCTTGTTGGAGGAGAAGGAGTAGTTCCACTTGTTGTGGGAGAAGGAGTAGTTCTGCTTGTTGGAGGAGAAGGAGCAGTTTCGCTTGTTGTGGGAGAAGTTGTAGTTACGCTTGTTGGAAGAGAAAGTGTAGTTTCGCTTGTTGGAGGAGAAGGTGTAGTTCCGCTTTTTGGGAGAGAAGGAGTAGTTCTGCTTGTTGTGGGAGAAGGTGTAGTTCCGCTTGTTGTGGGAGAAGGAGTAGTTTTGCTTGTTGGGGGAGAAGGAGTAGTTCCGCTGGTTGAAGGAGAAGGTGTAGTTCCGCTTGTTGTGGGAGAAGGAGTAGTTTCGCTTGTTGGGGGAGAAGGTGTAGTTCCGCTTGTTGGGGGAGAAGGTGTAGTTCCGCTTTTTGGGAGAGAAGGAGTAGTTTCGCTTGTTGGAGGAAAAGGTGTAGTTCCACTTGTAGTGGGAGAAGGTGTAGTTCCGCTTGTTGGGAGAGAAGGAGTAGTTCCGCTTGTTGGAGGAGAATGTGTAGTTCCGCTTGTTGGGGGAGAAGGAGTAGTTTCGCTTGTTGGAGGAAAAGGTGTAGTTCCACTTGTAGTGGGAGAAGGTGTAGTTCCGCTTGTTGGGAGAGAAGGAGTAGTTTCGCTTGTTGGAGGAAAAGGTGTAGTTCCGCTTGTTGGGGGAGAAGGAGTAGTTTCGCTTGTTGGAGGAAAAGGTGTAGTTCCACTTGTAGTGGGAGAAGGTGTAGTTCCGCTTGTTGGGAGAGAAGGAGTAGTTCCACTTGTAGTGGGAGAAGGTGTAGTTCCGCTTGTTGGGAGAGAAGGAGTAGTTCCGCTTGTTGGGGGAGAAGGTGTTGTTCCGCTTGTTGGAGGAGAAGTTGTGGTTCCGCTTGTTGTGGGAGAAGGTTTAGTTCCGCTAGTTAAGGGAGAAGGAGTAGTTTCGCCTGTTGTAAGGCCTGTGGTTGAAGAGTATGTAGTTATCGTGACGGTTTCGGTGGTACTAAGTGAGCCTGCTGTTGATTCGATTGTAGTTTGCTCAGTTCTCGCAGTAGTCTCTTCATTCTCTGTGACAGTTGTTGCTGCATGTGTTGTTGTAGAGAGCACTGAAAAACAAAATGGAAAAATTTTGATTTTTCAAGACGTCGGGACCATTTCGCTAACTGAAAATCAATATCATCCCTTGTCTTTTTGCATGAGGTTTTTCGAGTGAGTAGTTTGTAATTTCTAGACTTATAATACTACCAAAACAACGTGGTTGCCAATAACAAATTCAAGCACATTTCAAAAAAAGTGAATGTGAAATGGGGTCATAAAAAAGTTGAAACAGAAAAACAGCCCGACAACTAACTTCCCGATTCCGGTGATACTTTCTTTCAGAGTGGGGACGACAATAAGCATGACGAAAACTTAAATGAAAAGGAAAAGAGCAAACTTCAAATCTGCGACATTCTTCGATGGCAACTGAAGTAGGCATCAGCGGAATAAGTTAGTAAGCGGAAAAATGAAATGTAATTTTTCTCTGCAAACCAGTCCTACCTTTTTTGCATGTAAGAATAGAGGCAAACAGCTTGTCGCAATTGGAACTGTTGATCTCCACTTGCACAAGATTGCGCTCAAGACCTGTGAGGTCTGATGACAGATCCAATACTATCGGCTTGTCTTCAGGATTATCCACACTGTTTGGTATTTCGAGAAGAACCTGCAACGGTTGAAAACTTGTTTTTCTTTTTAGGCGCAGATTGGGAGGAAGACATAGTGCCAATAATGAGTTTGTTCCGTTCTTCAAGTTTGCATACAGATGCTTATTATGAGATCAGAGCGTTTGCCACCTCGGGAGACTTTGACAGGAGACTCAATCATTTAGAAAGTTTAATTTAATATCAATCATTTAAAATACTTACTGGGAATTCGGAGAGAGCAAACACTCCCTTAACTGTTACGACGTCATCGCTGTCGTCTTCTATGACTTGGACTGGTTCTGAAGGCACGAATGAAAGATACTTTGTAGTCGTATCTGCCGAACCTGGAGACGAGGGGAATGTGAATGCGACTTGGAGGTCAGGATACTTCTCGCCTCCAGGAGCCGTGTCGTTACTGACGAGGTTGACGAACTTCAGAGCCTCAACAATGACGCTGTCGCCGTTTTCGTCAGTGACGTCAAAAGTCATCGGTTCGTCACATGGGCTTTCGGAAGTTTCGCTCCACTCCATGTCATCTTTGTGCTCACATGCCATTTGAGTTGTAACTTGTGTCGTTATAAAAGTCGTTTCGCTAGTGGTCGGAGTCGCAGTAGTTGGCGAGTAACTGGTGACTGTCGTCGTGGACTTACTGGTCGCTCCACTGGTGGACGCGGTTGTCATTGTTGTCGAGAACGAAGTCGGCGTCGTGTATTCAGTCTGAATGACTGTCGTTTTCAAAGTTGAAGTCAGTACTAAAAAATAGAATAAGTTTAAACATTTCAACTTTTTTAACATTAATTCATCCTTTTTTCATTAGTACTGTGACTTCGTTTCAAAACACCATGGTGACTTCGTTTCAAAACACCGAGATACTATCAAGCAACAAATTTATTGCCGTTTTTATCATTTACACTTTATTCTCTGAAAAAAACTCTATAATTTTGGACTGAAAAAAATAATTGAGAAATCAATTTGGCTACCTTCTTCACACGCGACTACTGCCACTTGCAAATCTGTCTCGTCGCATGACTTGACGATGATCTGGATCTCGTTGGCACTCCACGCTGTCACTGCTTCCCCGTCAGAGTCCAAACCGACAGGGATGGTCCAGACTCCGTCTACGGGTCTTACAATTGACTCGGGGATTGTAGCCTGGCGGAATAAAAAAATACTGGTAAATTATTGCAAGGAGAACAGTTATAATTTAAAAAAAAAAAAGAAAATCAAAATTAAACATTTTTTTTCAAATGTTTTGTAGTTTTTGCTGCTGCAATTTGATCACACCTTTCTATTAATTGGACCTATCTTCTCTAACGCTCTCATGAACAATCCAACTATACACTAAGCAAAATCAACTCTAGGAAAATTTACACCAGTAAAAGGTTGTTCGTTTTTCATTCTCGTTTTCATCAATACCGCCTAACGTTTTTTTTCTTCACAATGACGCGCTGGGGTATTGAAAATTGGAGATTTTTCATGCATTCTCGTGCCAGCCCATGTTGATCATGATTAAACTACATTATTTTTTCGCCCTCTTGTTGTATAGAGTAATTGAGTTCATTTCGGAAGCTGTCAATCAAATGTTCACTCTTGGTGCTAGACTAATTGATTAGCAGGTGTTTGTCCTTGGAACAGTCTGTCACCCTTGGATACTGTTTCTAACCACTCTCTATGCTAACTTTGTAAGATTAAGTTGACTATCTCTTCTATTGGAATTAACAATTGCACGACGTTCGTTTTACCTTCTCGACATGGCGCAGCCAGCAGGATTAGGTGGGGGAAAGAATCCACTGGGCATCACGGGATTTTGGCCAGCAAAATGCACGGAACCGCCAATGATGTGGGAATTCTGGATTAACAGATTCCAATGGGGAATGGTCGCCAAGCACTCACTAAACCCGATGAACTTTTACTTCGCCGCGACACTCACAGCCGCACAAATTACTGACTTGCCCGCGGAAGTAGACGGAAAAAATCGGCGGGAATCAGAAATGGTGTTGATTTCGAACCTGTATTTGTGTCTGGGGGAAAAGGGGCAGGATGAACTGCACAAAAGACGACCACACCTGGATCTCCAGACGATTCGTTAGCCACGGATGATAGACGCGCTGGAAACGGAATTTAAGAAAGAAAGAAATGAAACATATGAAACATACCAACTCCTTTCTCGTAAGCAATTTATTAATGAAAGTTTGGAGCAATTCCACTCCGTACTCAGCGGATTGGCAGCGCGGTGCAATTTTGGAACATTAGAGAACCGAATACTAAGAGACGTATTCATTGTTAACATGAATAATCGGGATGCACAAAAGGAACTATGCAGGTCGACGAAAACACCTGAGGAAGTGTACCGGATAGCTCTCTCGTACGAGAGGGGTAGCAAGTATGCATCATCATATGTTGCCACGGGACCAGTGGGGGCCCCTGGATCATCATCAGGAGGCGGAGGAATCCAAATAAAGTCGGAACCAGTTGGAATAATCCGTGGAGGTTACCGGAACAATCGTGCAAGGGGCCGGGGCTCTTACCAAGGGCGAGGATCGTATCGAGGCAGAAATCTCCCCAATAACAATAAATGTTATAACTGCGAACAACAAAATTTCACCAGGGAACACTTGAACAGATGCCCAGCAAAGGGGGTTACATGCAATTTTTGCCACAAAATTGGCCACTTCGAACGAACCTGCAGGGGAAACGTGGAAAACAGCGAGGATAGGGAGCCGTAGGAATGATACGGGAGAATGGCGACGATCATCATCTAGAAAATTCGGCGGACGAAGAAGCATCACAACATGCAAGTTCCATTGGATGGGTTAACAAGAATCCAGTGGTGCACTCGTGGGACTCGCAGTTCCGATGGGGACTATATGGTCATGGCCATAAAACGGAAAGGAGTAACAGAATTGAAAGTTGCTGGGGCACAATTGCCGATCAAAGTCAATGGGAAACCCACTCGAGTGTGGATCGATAGCGGGTTCCCAATTTCAATCTTCACCATCGGGGAATTACGGAAAACCTTGGGCACATCAGGAGTAAAACTGGACAATCTTACGGAGGAGGACAATGCTTTTCGGGATTATGGAAACAATCCCCTACAGATGATTGGAACAATGGCAGTAACAATACAATCAAACGGTTGGAAGATCCATGCAAGGATAAAAGTGATCGGGGGGAACCGACCATCAATAATTGGAAGAGATCTGATGCCCCAACTAGGACTCCAGTTGGTGCAACAATCACCAGGGGACCACATAATGTCCATTGAAGAAGGCAGTCATGACGCACTGGAACCGCAGGGGGAGTTGGATTCATGGCAAACATATTTCAGTAAGCAGTTTTCAAATTTTTTTAGCAGGGTAGGGAAAATAAGAAACTACAAAGTACAAGCCGAATTTTTTGAAAACCTCACCCCAGTACAACAGAAGGGGCGTCGAGTCCCGATTTTGTTGCAAGAAAAAGTGGATGCCGAAATTGACAAATTATTGAAACAGGGCCATATCGAAAAATTATCTGAATGCTCGGACAAATATTTTGTGTCCCCAATAGTAATAACAGTAAAAAAGGATGGATCCGTAAAACTGGCACTAGAGTCGAGGGAACTAAATAAACAAGTGCATAAGAATAAATACCAAATGCCGAATATCGAGGAACTAATGGACACGGTTGGGCAAACGATTAGCGAAAAAAAACAGGGAGACATATATTTCACAACAATGGATTTAACATACGCTTATGGCCAACTGCCACTAAACGCTGAGACGAGCATACAGTGCAATTTTTCTCTCATTGGAGGCCGCTCGACGGGTACATACCGGTTCAAAACCGGATTCTATGGTCTCACTACAATGCCCGCCGAATTCCAACGCGCAATGGATTGTATACTCGCTGAATACCCGTACCCGCAAGCGCATGCGTTCATCGATGATATTTTGGCCGTAACCAAGGGAACGGCAATAGACCACATAGCAACGGTAGAGAAAATTTTAAAGAAAAAGGATCGTGAAAATATGTCCCTAAAGTTGACAAAATGTAAATTCGCCCAACGAGAATGCGAATGGCTAGGACATAAAATAACCCCGACTGGAATTACTCCATTGGTTAGAAAAACAGAACCGATAGAGGCGCTAACGCCGCCACGGACCTTGACGCAATTAAAATCATTTATGGGGTCGATCCATAGTTTGCACAAGTATCTGCCGGCATTGGCCGAATCATCGGCATCGCTGCGACCCCTATTAAGCAAAAATAATGAATACATTTGGACACCTGAATGCCAGAACGCGTTCGAAAACCTGAAGAAACAAGTTTCAAACATTGTTGAATTACGGCACTTTGATATTCACAAAGACATTCGTATAGTGTGCGATGCAAGCCATAACGGGCTCGGCGCGGTGTTGGAACAGTTAGGACCAGAAGGATGGCGCCCAATTTTGTTTGCGTCGCGATATCTTAACGAAGCGGAAAAAAAATACTCAACAAACGAATTGGAAATGTTGGCAGTTGTGTGGGGGGCTGAATACTTTAGAAATTACATACTGGGCCGAAGTTTTTTGTTCGTTACCGATCATAAAGCCCTGATATCCCTTTTGAAAGGTAATAACAAGAAAAATAAAACGATGTTTAGTCGTTTAACGCGCTGGTTAGATCGACTAATTCCCTTTGATTTTCAAATTGAGCATAAACCGGGGGCTAAAATTGGTTTGGCGGACTATTTATCACGTCATCCAAGTAGAGAAGCAACGCCAATTAGTACGTATGATAATATGTTTACGGTGGCAAAGATCAACCTAATTCGCACTGCGCTTGGCTTTAATACATCCAAGGGACCTAATACATCCAAGGGACCTAATACATCCAAGGGACCAATTTGTACAGCGGATAATAAGCATTCTATAAATAGACTGGAAGTTTCGTCACAAAACGACTCGGTAGAGGGCGGAAAAACATGTAAGCGGAAATCAACCAATCAGATTCAAACACGTGGTTTAAGCCGACGGCTACGCGAAATACGCACTGGATTAGTTGGGGCTATTATTCAATCAGAACACAGTTGTTCAAAATTATCTGAATCCAACTCTCAAAATCAATTCTTACTTAAATCCAGCCCTCAAATTTTAAACTCACATATCAATATGGACCGCAGCATGCGCAAATGGCAGAAATTTCTTAAACAACATCCAAGTCTAAATAGTAGTAGCGACGAAATCGAAGATTTGCCCCAAATGTATCACTAGAAGCCATTACCAAAGAGACAAGATCAATACGCACAAATACAACTCTCTCGTTACCCTCGGAATTCAAAGGAGAAACAGTACCACCAGTGGACCCAAACCTTGTATGTATGTCAATTATCCCGCGAAATTGTAAGATCGTTAACAAAGCTACTTCATTACCTGGCCTGTTTAATTTAAAATTCATAGAATCAAATTATGTATCGGACCCCCAACTGAGCGCTATTCGCGATCTCATTGTTACACAAGATCCTGAATTTTATGAAAAAGTTACTCAAATGAGCCGTTATTATGCTCAATTCGTCAATGATTTCTCAGTGAAGGAAAATGTAGTTTGGATGGATGATAAATTAGCAATTCCAATTAACCTTCAGTCAGCAATTAATAACCGAATCCACGCGTACCATCACGGGAAATCAAATATGTTCGATGCCGCAAAAGATGTCTGGTATCCCTACATCTACCGTTCAATAGCTTCCATTGCCGAAGGGTGCCCTGAATGTACTGCAGCTTGTAAGAACTTAAAGACGTTAATAAATAAAAATCAACTGGGATCTGTACCGGAAACAAAAGAACCAAATGAATCTGTCCAATTAGATTTTTGGGGCCCCATCAATTACTTAAATGAATCCTCAAAATATGTACTAGTGGCGGTCGACCGGTTCTCTCGTTGGCCATCGGCAATGGTCTGTGGAAATAATCGATCGGACAAAATATTGAAATTCTTGAAGAGCTATATATCAAACCACGGGGTGCCACGGAAAATCCACATTGACCAGGGAACTAGTTTCATGTCAAACGCGGTTAAAGCTTTTTGTAATGGGGAAGGCATTGAAATCATTAAATCGCCAGCAAACGACCATCGAGCAACCGGGTGCGTCGAGCGTACCATTGGAAGTCTTAAGAATTCTATCCTTACCT